CCCATCTAACCCTTTCCTCTCAGAGTGGTCTCTTTTTCCCTTGTCCTGTCACTCCATGCCCTTGTCCAAAAATACCTTAAATACTTAAATAACCAGCCTTCACCATTTACTTTCCGGGGAAGCCCCGAGTTACTGCCGTGACCCCCGTGACAAGGTCTCAAACACTCACATGACTTTAATCCAACTGTCACATTCCCCATCTTCCAACCACTCCAGGAATCCATGCAGCTGCTCACATCTAACAGTTGTATAACATTTTACCCTGATTTCCCTCTATTTTCCCCCCACAAACAGCAAGTGACACATTTCTTACGTGCCTGTTTCACATCCTCCTGATGATGTCCGTGGGTGGAACACAGAATTCCATTCAGGAAACCCAAGTAGCATTGCCAGCTTGCCTTTTCCAACTAAATTTAGCCCCTGCGCGTGGAGTGTATACAGGAAAGGGATAGCGTGCTCTGTATGGAAGTGCTGGAACAGAGGTTGTATTATCTCTGGTTGGCAAACTCAACTGCCTGGGTCTGGGTCTCTTCCCAGTCTCCAGATGGCAGATGTCACCCTGTTGCTTGATATTCTTGGACTGGGAGAGGAAATGGCCTCTTCACTTGGTTCTCCACCTCAGGAGCTCGCTCCTGAGTGGAATTCCCAGGGAGGAGGTGGCCAGCTGGGCACCTGCACCGGTGTCGTGGCCCAGCCATTCAGCATCTCAGCATCCTGTGGCTCAGGATGTTTAGTAAAGGATCTCCATGGACTGAACAGGGAAGTCGGATTCGATGATCTTGGAGGTCTTTTCCAACCTAATGATTCTGTGATTCTACGGACAGTTCAGACTCAAACCTAACCAGAAAACCAGCTCCCACCTGAACCTCATTCCTATTGAATTTAGAAGATCAATGGCTTTTATCCATCTGCTGCTTCCAGCTCTGGGCTCCCCAATGGAGCTGCTGGAGCAAGTCCAGAGGAGGCCACAGAGATGCTCCGAGGACTGGAGCCAGGCTGGGAGAGCCAGGGGTGTTTGGCCTGGAGAAGAGAAGGCTCCAGGGAGACCTTACAGCCCCTTCCAGTGCCTAAAGGGGCTCCAAGAGAGCTGGAGAGGGACTTTGGACAAGGGTCTGGAGTGACAGAACAAGGGGGAATGGCTTCCCGCTGCCAGAGGGCAGGGTTACATGGGATATTAGGAAGAAATTCTTGGTTGTGAGGGTGATGAGGCCCTGGCACAGGTTGCCCAGAGAAGCTGTGGCTGCCCCATCCCTGGAAGTGTCCAAGGCCAAGATGGATGGGGTTTGGAGCAACCTGGGCTAGTAGAAGGTGTCCCTACTCATTGCTGGCAGTGGAATGAGATGAGCTTTACAGTCCCTTCCCACCCAAACCATTCCAGGATTCCAAAACTGCTTCTTTAAATTTATATTTTGAAATGACTTTTTTGCCTCAAATCTTTCCTGCAGCCACCCCAGAATTCCTACTTTGTCAGCCCTATTGGAGGAATCAGCCTGATCCCTGACTCAGAGCTCACACAGACATACCGCAGTGTCTCCTGCTGAAGTTTTCTTGGTTTTCCTTTTCTTTTTTTTCTTCCTTGGCTTGTTACTCGATGCAGGCTGCAAAGACAAAGGGAAGAGCTGTCAGCATGCTCTGAGGGGTGTCAGCTCCATGGGAAGAAGAGCATTTCTCACTGGGATCAGCACACCAAGGGCCCTTAAACAAAACCAAAATTCATCATTTCCTGTTTGTCAGAGAGTGGAAATTAAGACACAAGAAGAAAATAGATGAAAACACCAGAGTTTCCCAAAGGCTTAAATCTCAGTTGACTTTCAGTTCAGTGTCTGAGGCCACAAAACCAGGAAAGACAGAAGTTTAGCCATGCCAGGTGTGGAGGAAATGCTTCAGCCTCCTTCTGTCTCCAGAACAAGCTGGATTTCTGTCTTTGTAGTGAGCAGGACAGTTTCAATGGTCATTCCCATTTCTACAGAAACCAACATCTGCTACAGGGCCCCAGCAAAATACAGTTCCTCTCCCTGCACGTGCAGCTGCTTTAGCTCAGGATGCTCTGTGGCATTCCCAAAAGTGACAGGCACACCACTGCCCATGCTGGCTCTTCCTTGGGGTGTACACAGCTGGAAAACACATTTCCAGGATCTAGCAAATAATACAGCAAGAAATCACAGAACTGTGGAATGCTTTGGGGCAGGAGGCACTTCAAAGTTTATCCATTCCCACCCCCTGCCATGGGTAGGGACACCTTCCACTAGCCAGGTTGCTCCAAGCCCCATCCAACCTGGCCTCGGACACTTCCAGGGATGGGGCAGTCACAGCTTCTCTGGGCAACCTGTGCCAGGGCCTCACCATCCCCGCAGCCAAGAATTTCTTCCCAATATCCCACCTAACCCTGCCCTCTGGCAGTAGGAAGCCATTGCCCCTTGTCCTCTCAAGTAATGGTGTTACCAGAACCACGCCACACTGGTTCCAGAACTGAGGGAAGGTGCAGCCCCAGTCTGGCTCTACTCAAGAGCAGCATCCGCCTGCCCAGGGCTCCCACGGAGCTCTGGGAGAAGCCACAGGTGTGTCCTGGGGTGCTGACACAGCAAACTCACTGGGTCAGGGCCCCTGGAGCCACTGCTTACACAGGGACCCACTGTCCAGAGCACTCCCAGCCACTGGCACAGCTGGAACATGCACAGATAGTGGACTTTGCCCAGAACCCATGGGCACACAGCCCAAATGCACAGCAAACAGGTGAGGCCAGGGGGCCAACCCTGCTTTGCTCCTCCAACCCTCATCTCTGCGAGATCCAAGCCAAACCTGCCACGGAAAATTGTTAGTTAAATGTCCCTTTCCTTACAAAATCCTGCAAGGAGACACTTGTGAGCTGATACAAACCACAGGAGCAAATGTTGACACTAAACAACAATAAATCACAATGAGGAAAAGCACGTTCAGTGTTTAGTTGACACTGCTTGGAGCCTTCACATCCCCTATTCCAAAACAAATGCTTCCCTGAGACCATTCCCAGCCCCTGCCCAGCCTCAGCTCTTGTGTGGCACAGGGTCTTCCTTGGGAGCCTCCTCTCTGCAGCTGGAAAATCTCCCCAGATCCCACACACAAACCCAGCACTCAGCACCAAACTGCTGGTCCTCTCCGAGAGCCCTGAGTTCCTGGGTTTGAGCTCCCTATGTGTGTCCCTGCCCTGTTCCTGTGTCCCTGTGACTGTCCCGTGGTGATCATGGGGGCCCTGGGGCAAGTTACCATTTGGTCCGGCTGCTCGGCCTCCTCCCCCTCTCTCTGCCCATCGTCCATGTCCTCAGTCACAGCCCCTTCCTTGTTCCTCTCCTTGTTCCTTTCCTTGTTCCCCTCCTTATTCCTTCCTGCTGTGTCCTGTTCGCTGAGCCGGGTGTCCACTTGCTCCTCTCCAGTCACTGGCTCATCCTCTGACTCCTCGGCAGGGATCTGCAAACAGAGGGACAAGGTGCAGGGACAGTGCAGGGATGGAATTCCCCAGGGATCTGATCTACCACTCCACCTGCAAACAGATGGGGATGACCCCTCATGTCAAGTGTGTCACCCAGCAGGTGCCTGGATAGCCCCAAGCCCATGGAGGGGGGCACAGGGACACCACGATGTGTCCTCTCACACCACAGCCCTGTCTGGACTCTGCTCTTCCTTGGGAAGAGCTTCCAAACCCAGCCCTGCCTATGCTCCCACAGCCAGGCCTTGGGGAAGGACAGGGCTGGATGAGGCGTCTGGAGAGCAAGACCAGGCTCTGTCACCTCAAAGAACTGGCAGTACCACCAGGGCCACCCGATTCCCAGCCTTCAGTACTGTGCTCCTGCAGGGCAGGATGGTGGCAGGAATGTTCCTAAAAACAGTTTCCCCATCCCAGCTCTGACAACAACCAAACCCAGGCCTCCCTCCCATTTCCTCCCAGTTCAGCCCTAGCTGCACCTCCTCACCCCTCCCACCCACCACCCAAACCCCTCAGTCCCACCCCAGTCACTGACCCCAAATCACTGCTTCCCACCAACTGTCACCTCTGCCACATCCACTGTCACCCCCAGCCCTCCTGATCCCCCCAGACGCCCGCAACCCCCCCCAGCCACTGCCCTTAGGTGACCCCCTGACGGTCACCGGCCTCCCCATGAGTGCCCACTCAGGGGACCCCCAATCACTGCCAGCCCAGCTGCCCCCAAAGTCACTGTTCCCCCAGTCGCTCCCACAGTCACTGTCGTCCCACTTGTGCCCCCAGTGACTTTCACGTCACAGCTGCCACCCCAGTCATCGCCCCCCAACCGCTCACCCTCGCGCCCCCTCAGGCCCCTCCACCCGCCGGCTCTGCCCCCCCCTCACCAGCTCGAAGCGGTTGCTGATGGTGGCACGGGGCCGGCTGCCGGGTGGCGGCGGCGGCCCCGCCTCTCGGGCTCGCTCGGGGCCGGGGTCGATGCCGAGTTGGCCCAGCCCCGGCCCCTCCTGGCCCCGCTGCTCCCCCCGCAGCCGCCGCAGGGCCCGGCGCGACATTACCCCTGCCGGCTCCGCGCCTGCGCCCCGCACTGCGCCTGCGCGCCCGCGCCGGCCCCGCCCACCCCACATCACGCGCGCCCACTGGCTGGGCTACGCCACGCCCCCCGCGACCTCCGTGGCGCCCCCCGCGCAAGCCCCGCGTGAAATATGTCTCGGGGGGGGGGCGTGGGAACGGGGTGTTTGCCACGGAACCCGTGCGGGGTGATGACCTCGGGACACGGGGGAGACCCGGGGATGGGCCAGGGGGACAGGCTGGGGGCGGTGAGAATGCGCATGGGAATGAGAAGCAGAGTGTTCCCACGGTCCTGTGCAGGGTCGCGGGTGGGCACTGCCGTAGGAGCGGACAGGAAGGATGGCGAGGGGGGATGTGAGCGATGGACTGGAGTGGAGTGCAGGGGGTGGTGGTCCCCGGCCCCCTCACATTTCCCAGCACCCTGCACCCCGCTCTCCCTCCCAACCACCCACTCAGGACCAGCCACGCGGCCCCGGGGTAGCCCAGCGGGTTTATTATCGGAGGGGGGACATACAGAGCAGCCGTGCCAGCCCAGGGCACCGGGCACCCAGGCACAGCCAGGGCTTGGCACAGAAGCAGAGCTGAGGGAAGCCAACACAGGGGGCTGCAGGTGCCCCACTGTGGGATCTGTTCCCCCAGGAGCTGCCCCACGGTGCAATCTGTGCCCCCGGGGGGCTGCGGGTGTCCCACAGCAGGATCCATCCATCTGGGGGCTAACGGTGGTCCATCCCCTTGGGGGATGTGGGCGCTCCGCAGCAGGACCTGTTCTCCCAGGAGCTGCCCCACGGTGGGATCCTTCCCCCCGGACGCTGGAGGTGTCCCACAGCTGGATCCGTTCCACTGGAGGCTGTGGGTACCCCACAGCTGGATCCACCCCCTCAGGGGCTGTGCGACGGTGGAATCCATCCCCTCGGGGTCTGTGGGTACTCCACGGTGGGATCCATGCCCTCAGGGGCTGCAGGTGCCCCATGGCAGGACTTGTGCCCCCAGGGGCTGGTGGCAGGGATGGAAGGGGATGGCAGGAACGGGTCCTTTTGCCCCTGGTCCATAACGTATATAAATATAGAGGCTGTGTGTATCCATCCTATGTATATATGTACAGCGGGGGGGCACCCCCCTGGCGCCCGTCACCGGGGCGTCGGGCCCCTCACTGGAGCCAGGCGTCGCTGTAGAGGGAGCGGGCCTTGGCGTGGCGCCGGGACGCGGCGCTGGCGTTGAGCACGGCCACGCTGCGCCGGCTGGAGCTCACCACGTCCTTCACGAATCCGGCACAGTCGGGGCACACGTCCCGCAGCACCGAGCCCTGGGCGTAGATGTGCGGGAATTCCTCCTCCACCCGGCGCCAGCACGGCCCCGACAGCGAGCTGCGGCACAGAGCACTCCGTCGGCACCCACCGGGAGCAGGAGGAGGAGAAGGGGGGAGGAATGGGGAGGAAGGCTCAGGGACTCACTGGAAGGGCTCCCTCCGGCGCAGCGGCAGCGCCTTGGGCAGCAGCGAGCCCGGGAGGCTCTCGAAGCCCAGCGCGTAGACGGGGATGTGAGCCAGCTTCTTGGAAGGCATCTTCATCTACCGGGATGTGGGAGTCAGGACAGGATGGGACGGGGACAGAGGTGGGATGGGACGCAGTTGGGATAGGGCAGGACAGGGGCAGGGATAAGGATGGAGTGGGACAGGGGCAAGGATGAGATGGGGCAGGACAGGGACGGGATGGATCAGAGAAATAGCAGGACACATACAGGGACAAGGCAGGACAAGGGATGGAATGGGGCAGGGACAAGGGAGAACAGAGACAGAATAGGACAGGGACAGGATGGGGCAGAGATAGGGAAGGACAGACAGGGAGGATGCAGGACAGGGATGAGATGCTATGGGACAGGGACAAGGGAGAACAGAGACAAAATGGGGCAAGGCAGGACAGGGACACAGTGACACTGGCCGGGGCCAGTCCCTTACCTTCAGGCTGCAGGAGCTACAGACAGACCTGGGGACATAGAGAGAGGCCATCTCAGGGACCCTCCTACCACCCTCCCAGCCCCTGACACAGCACAGCACAGTGCTCACCGTTTGCAGAAGAGACAGGCTGCGGGCCAGGAGAAGAGGGGGAACTTGGCCCTGCAGCAGCAGCAAACCTGCAGACAGAGTGGGGTGAGTTGGGGTTGGGCAGGGGTACACCTCCACCAACCCTTCTGGCTCCCTGGCCCCATTCCCACCTTCCCTCTCCGCAGGCTGCTGTACAGCTCCTTGCTCTGCAGGAACTTCTCCATCTCAGCCTTGACCAGCACCCTGCGGACATTGATCATCTCCTCCACGGTCAGAGCCAGGCTTTCCACGGGGTGGCTGAACTCCTGCAGGACAGGGGGATGTCACCATGAGCTGTGGCAGAGGGAGCCATGTGCCCACAGTCACACTTGCCTGGTGTCCCCAGCCCTGGTGTCCCCAGCCCCGGTGTCCCTAGAACCCACCAGCCAGAGGTGCTTGGAGCTGGTGGTGGGGGCAGCGCTGGATCCGTCCTCCGGTCTCTCCTCCACGGCACCGAGGGCAGCCCGGGGCAGTGCTGGCCCATCTGGCAGCTGGTGACAGCTGGCAGGGACAGAGCCTATGAGGAGGGACAGGGAGGTCATGGTGAGGCCATGTTACCTGGTGCCACCGCTGCCACAGGGCATGGCACAGCCCCCTGGGGATGGGGACATGGGGACCTCCAGCAGTACCTGAGCGGGGCCGGGGCTCGGGCTGCAGTGGCTCCAGGTCCTGGGGTGCAGCCTGGTCACCCCCCAGCTGGCTCTGCAGCTGTGCCAGGTCCTGCTCTGAGAAGGAGCGATCCCGCTTCAGTGGCATCTCTGTGCCTGGAGAGTCCTCATCCTGCAAGGCCATGGGTACCACATCACCCCAGGGACCTGGCACCCCCCATGTCCCTCCACCTCCAGGGTCCCCCCTTGCCTCTGAGAGGTTCATCTCCTCCATCTCGGCCAGGGTGGGCGCCTTGAGGAGGACGCGTGGCCGTGGGCGCGTGGGCATGGCACTGGCCGGGCACCGAGAGAGCTCGAGACAGGAGTTGGAGGCCAGGCGGCCAGCACAGGCATGTGGGATGCAGGGCAGGGAGCTGTACCCTGCAGAGGGACAGGCTCAGCACCATGGGGATGGGCACAGAGCTGGCGCGTCACAGCAGGGAGGGGACACTGGTACCTTTCTGCTCCACGGGCCGGAGCTTCCGCTCCTGCCTGATCTCCTCCAGGATCTTCTCATGGAGTGTCCTCTGCTTTTGGGGCAGGGGCCGCAGCCGTCGCTCTGATGCCTGTGGGATGTGTGGATGGGACCTCAAGTGGTAACCATGGCTCAGGGATGGCACTCCCAGGGTGGGCATGGCACCATGCCAGGGAGATGTCCCAGTGCCAGTGCTCACCTGCTTCAGGGGGGGCCGGGAGCGGATGAAGTCAAGGATGAGCTCGTGGGCATCCTTCTTCACCCGTGGGGGGATGTCTCCATCCACCTGGGGAGGGTGGGGGTCATTGCCAGGCTGGGGCATGGCAGGATGGAGGGTGAGGGGCTGGCACGGTGGCTGCGCTCACCATGACCTTGCGGAGTTTGTAGTTGCGGGCACGGATGTCCTGCATGAGCATCTCGAAGGGCGTGAGCTGGTACTCAGTGGGCAGCGGGTTGAACTGCTTCTCCTGCACCTTCTTCAGCTTCACGCCGTGCCGCAGCTCTCGCATCAGCTGTACCCACAGCCGGGCCTGGGGGGGCACATGGACACAGTGTCAGCACCCACTCACCCATCATGGCCCCCATGCCCCAGCGTTGCCACTGTACCCAGTCGGTGTTGCGCAGGCTGCCCAGTTCCGCCGCCGGTCGCTCCTCCTCTTCCTCATCCTCCTTCAGCTTCTGCAGCAGCTGTTGTGGTACAAGATACTGTCACCCTGCCCTGGTGGCACTGAGGGTCCGACTGAGACCATGTCATGGGGCTGCAGCACTGAGGTACACCCAAAAACACCCACATTCCCAGCTGGCACAGCACTCTGGGAGGTTATGGCTAAACGCCAGCACCAGTAGCCCCGGTGGGATGGGCAGAGAGGGCACTGGCTGGCTTCCCTGGCTAAGTAGTGGTGCCAGTGGGCACCCACACTCACCTCCTTGGCATCACGGATCTTGGCAAGGAAGGCCATGAGCTCCACAGTCTCAGCGAAGAGCGCACGGCACACAGCCTGGTAGTGCGCCGGGGCGCCGGCAGGGTCAGCCAGGCGGGCAGCACAGCACCGCATGGCCTGCCCGAATGTGCGCACAGTGCGTGGTGGTCCCTCGCCCCCCTCCTCTTCCTCCTCCTGCCCCCCATAGCCCTCGTCAGCTGTGGCACAGCCGCTGTCCTCTGAGTCGCTGTTGGTCATCAGGTCAATGAGCTGCTCCAGGCGTGGGCTCAGCTCCCGCTCTTCGTTCTCATCCAGCCCCCAGTCCAGTGCCCGGTACACAGCGAAGCCCAGCGACTGCACCATCTGCAGGACATGGCATAGGCTGGGCATCGAATGTACCCTGGCACCAGCTACCCCTCCCATCAGCGCTGGGTCCCATCCCAGGACCCATGGGTGAGGGGACCAGGTGGCAGCACCCACCCCACACAGGCGTGTGATGGCAGATGGGGCCAGTCATCGGCCCCCACATACCTGGGCTTCGGCGGAGGGTGTCAGCAGCGCGGGCAGGTCTGGAGGAGGAGGGCAGAGTCACCACTTGCACCCACAGCCTCGCACTGGGCATCCCATCCCGCATCACCTGGGGATGTGGTACCCACCCGGCTCGGCTGTGGGGTATCCACCCTGAGCAGGTCCCACGCCCAGCAGTTTCTACCCCAACCTGAGACTCCCGTTCCTGGCTGCTCCCATCCTGTCCTGGTCCCAGAGCATGGCTCCAGGGACAGTGGGCACTCTCACATTGAGCCCTAGCATCAGGCAGTGGCAACACCACCTCCAGGGGGGCACATAAGGGGGGCACAGGCATTCCTTTATCACTCACCTCCAGGGCTGGAGGGAGCTGAGAGCTCTGCAACCATGGGGAAATGCCCCTGCATCCCTTTGGGCTGTGGGCACCAGGAGTGTGAGCACTGGCAGTGTGGGCAGTGGCAGTGTGAGCACTGACATCGTGAGCAGCAGCAGTGTGGGTACCGGGACTGTGAGCACTGGCAGTGTGAGGACTGGCAGCCACAACTGGAGCATGGCACACACACACGCACACACAGAGCCCAGGACATGCTCGTGGGCAGCTCAAACTCTCCTGGTAGCCACAGGATGAGGAACATGAGTGGTCTCTGCAGTGTCCCCAGGGCTTCCAGCTCCACTTCCTGACCATTAGCTCTGCATTGAGCTAATCAATGCGGCAGCTGCAAGGATATGCCAGTCGTGTGCCAGCCAGGAACAGACAGCAAGGGCAGCTCCAATGGTGGTCACAGTGCCACACACAAACCCATCACCAACCCATCTGCCCCAGCCATTGCCAGCTCCCACTGCAGTGCCAGCCCTGGGATGCCATCATCGCCCTGCAGTTGGTGCCTGGCCAGCAGGATGAGCCCAGTGAGTCCCAGTAGCTCCTTCCAGCCACTGGGACACAGCTAAGGAGGGAGTTCCCATGGGACAGGGGACTGGAGTGGCTCCAGAGGGTGCTGTTGGCTCACTCAGCGTGGATCCAGCCCCATGCCCAGGCAGAGCTGCCAAGCCACGTGCCAGGTTGTTACCACCACCTGCAGCGGTGCCCAGAGGCACCCAGAGTCCTTCCAGCCTCAGGCTTCACTGTGAAGAGGCTCGGTTTGTCCCTAGGGAGATGGCTCAGGTTGGCACAGAAGTGACCTCGTAGCAGGAGGCAGTACGGTGTCACTGGCACAGTATCACTGGTATGGTGGCACTGGCAAGTGACACTGGCTCCAGCCCCACAGTGGCTCAGGGCAGGGCGTGGGGACATTCCCAAGCAGGACCAGTGGAGCCGGTGTGACCACACCATGCCCAGATGCCACAGGCACGTGCCGTGCCCATGTGTGTCCCTGCCTTGGGCATGGAGATGCCCAACACGCCCTGGCGTCTGCCCGGCCACCGGCATCAAGGCCATGCGGTGACCCCACAGCACCGGCCCCTGTGGCCTCGCCGTTGGACGAGACAGGTGGAGGCATTGGCTGCACTCCAGGTGCTCCTGGAGCCTCCCAGTGTCACCCCTGGCAGCCAGCCCAGCCTAGTGACACCCCAGAACCGTCACAGCTGTGGCTGGCAGTGCCAGTCTCCCACGGAGAGATGGCCGGGAGGCTGAAGGTCGGAGATGGGGCTGTCCCGTGTGCAACACACAGGGGGCTGGGGCAGGACGAAGTGCCCTGAGTGTGCAAGTGTGGACGGCCCATGGATGTCCCTGTGGGTGTCCCCGTGTCTGTCTGTCCTTGTTGTGTGTATCCTGCAGCCTCACGGTAGATGCCAGGACCACGCACACCCCTACATCCATGTCCAGGCTCATTGGGTTACCCGGGAGGCCCTGCCGGTGCCAGTGTCGGTGCCACACCAGCCCTGGACCCCGAATTCATCAGCCCATCTTCCCCGCCAATCTCAGCAGTGCCGGTGCCAGTCCCCACCGCCGGGGCCAGGGCTTGGGGCTCACCCCTGTCCCCGCCTCTGCCGCTTTCCTGCCCCCCGATGCTGGTATTGTCCCTCTCTCCATCCTCACAGTCTCTTCCAGCTTCTCCAGTGCCCTCCCCGCACCGCTCCCCTGTGGCCGTTGCCTCTGTGCCTGGCCCCAAGCGATGTCGCTTCTCCTGCCTATCCGTCGCTCCCAGTACAGATCCTTATCCACCGGCGCCGGTCCCTCCCGCCAGGGCCGCTGCGGTTGCCCCCCCCGCAGCCGATATCCCTCGTCCCTCTGCGTCCCCAACGCCGGTGCAGCACCCCCTGCCGGTACCGGTAAGTCCCGGTGCCGGTAAGTCTCAGGTGCCCGCTCTTTATGCTTGTAAGACCCGGTGCCTCGGGTCCTAGGGGTCGTAAGTCCCAGTGCCTGTAAATCTCGGTGCCGGTAAGCCCAGTGCCGCACTCCCGGTACCAGTAAGCCCCGGTGCCGGTAAGTCCCGATATGCCGGGTCCCGGTGCTGCTAAGCCCCGATGCCGGTGCCCCGTTCCTGGTGCCGGCAGACCCTGGTCCTGCTAAGCCCCGGTGCCAGTAAGTCCGGGTACCCGGGTCCCAGGGCCAGTAAGCTCCCGTGCCCCGGTGCCGGTGCCTCGCTCTCGGTGCCGGTAAGTCCTGGTGCCCGTAAGCCCTGGTAAACCCCAGTGCCGTTAAACTCCGGGTCCCGGTAAGCTCCGGTAAGCTGTGGTAAACCCCGGCGCCCCGCTCCCGCGATGCCGGTAACTCCTGGTGCTGGCAAGCCTCGGTGCCTCGCTCCGGTGTCTGTAAGCTCCGGTGCCCCGGTAAACCCCAGCAAGTCACGGTGCCCGTAAGCCCCGGTAAACCCCGGTAAGCCCCGGTAAGCCCCGCTCGGGGGTGCCGTCCCGTCCCCCCCCGCGCGGGCGCCGCCCGCTCCCGCCCCTCCCGTGCAGCGGCGGCCTCACCGTGCGGCGGGGCGGGCAGGCGGAGGGAGCCGTCGGCGCGGAGGCGGATGTCGGCGGTGCGGAGCGGCGCGGGGGCCACGGGGGCGGCGGCGGCGGCTCGGCAGCCCTGGAAGCAGAGCGCCCAGGCCTGCTCCTCGTTCAGCGGCTGCTCGTAGCACTTCAGCACCTCCTCCAGGGACAGCTCCCGCGGCGGCCCCGCGCCCGCCCGCGCCATCGCCCCATCCCGCACCGCCGAGCGCGGCGGGCGGGGGACACGGGGCGGGGGCTCGCGGGGACACGCCCCCGAACGGCCACGCCCGCGCTATCGGCCTGGCCCGTCCCGCACCGCCGGGAGCGCGGGGGGGCGGGGACACGGGGACAGGCCCCGCCCAGCGCCCCGGCCACACCCACCACCCCGGCACCGCCGGGGGCACCCGCCGGGAGGGGCCGCGGCGGCGCCGGGGGGCGCGGGCGGATCGGGACGGCGCGGGGCGAGGCAGCTCGGTGTGGTACGGTGCGGTACGGCACGGTACGGTACGATACGGTATGGTACGGTGCGGCACGGCACGGTACGACACGGCTCGATATGTATGGCACAACTTGGTACGGTGTGGCACGGCTCGGTATGCCATGGCATGACTCTGTGCTGTGTGGCACTGCATGGTATCGCATGGCACTGTGCAGTGCGGCACACTCCGTACAGTGTGGCATGGCTCGTTAGAGTGTGGCACGGCACAGCACAGCTCAGTACAGTATTGCACGGCTCAGAATGGCACAGCTTGGCTGGCACGCCACAGCACGGCACATCACAGCTCAGTTCGGGATGGAACAGCTCAGCACGGGACGGTACATCACAGCATGGCCCAACTCGGCCAGCCCAGGCTATAGCACTGGGTACAGGGAGTGGTTGCCCCGGGTTACCTGGGTGTAGGGTGCATGGCACACACCTGGGCATAGGGCAGAGGGCACAGGGCGTGGGTGCCCCAGGCATGGGGTGCAGGGCACGTGATGAGGAGCACTGCCCGGGGTGGGTGCAGGGCAGTGCTGGCTGACACCCCACAAGGGACACAAGAGCCCCATTCACCCCAAGAGGATCAGGGTGGCCACGGCACATGGCTCAGCCCTAGCCCTGGCTCCCACCCCACAGAGTAAACGTGCCACGTGTGGAGCAGCAGGTGGAGGGACACGATGGCCTTGGGACTGGGGTCACCTGGGGACACAGAGCAGGAGTGAGGGCAGGAACCCAGGATGCCAGCACCCATGGGGACACCTGCCACGAGGCACCTGCCTGTGGGGTGCTGGGAAGCCTGGGGAGCTCAGCTGGGACTGGGAAGGAAAAGCCAGGCTGGGACAGGAAAACTCCTCAGAGGGAAGGAGAAGAACTCCAGATGCCAGAATGTGTTTTGTGCATGGCCAGGAGCAGCAAGAGCAGGTTGAAGGTGCCAGGATGAGATGGAGTCTCTAGGGAGACAATGTCCCTTGGGAACGTGATGTGGGGATGGTATTCCACAGCCATTGGGAATGGCTGGCATGGCATGGTGCTAATGATGGGATTGCTCTGGGGCATCAGCTGGTCCCTCTGGACACATGGGGAGGGCAGGATTGTGCTGGCAGAGCAGAAAGGACAACCAGTCCATGAGAAAGGTCAGAGGGACACATGAACACTCTTGTCATGATGAGCTTCCCATTTCCATGATGGAAGGAGCATAAAACCCTGTCTCAGCTCCATTAACCCATGAGCATAAACTGGGATCAATCCCAGAGCTGCGCTGGCTGAGCTGGGAGAGGGACAGAGCAGAGACATGGATTCTACTTGTCCCACATAGCCAAAGAAGCTGCAGGGCCAGAGACCACTGGCAAAGAGCCTGGGATGGAGGAGAAATGCCCTTCAGTGCCCATCCCAGAGAACCTGAGGAGTGTCAGCTCCATCTTTAGGAAAGAAAATAGGAGAATGGAGCAGAATACTGTGAAATGCAGCCCTGTACAGTGCCTTGGGGTTTAGGAAAGGGGAGGATGGATACAGGTGCATCTCTTGGATTGCTCAAACGGACCATATCCAGGTGGGAGCATGTTACAGGGAGTCGGGAGCACAGTGCCGGCTTCATCCCCAGCTGCATCCACATGGAATGGCACATGTCTCCAGCCCCTGGAGGAGCTCATGGCCACAGTGCTGACACCTGGCTGTGGTTTGAGAGATTTGAATGCAACGTTTGCCCTATAATCAGCTGTTTTGGAGCCTGCCTGGGAAGCGACTTCCCGGGAGGAAAGCCCACCAGAGCAGGGCTGTGCGGTGCCGGGTGCCAGCTTTCCATCGCCTCCGGACACAGCCGGGGCGGCACCGGCGGGGAGGGGAGCGGGGAGGACGTGCGGCGTTTGAAGGCGAGAATAACCCACCCTGCAGGATTCATGGGATGGCATTTGCATGACAAAGCACGGAACCCTTTGCTTTGGGTAAATCTACAATTAATATGGAATCGAGGCATAATTAAAAGCTACCAGCGTGGAAAACTCAAACAGAAGCCAAGCGTGTATGTGGATGAGGGAAATAGAATTAAAAATGAAAGATAAAAGGAAAAAAAATATGAAGAATTTGGGAAAGGGTGTCAGAGTGCTATGGGAGGGTTGGAATTCCTGGTTCCTTCAGTGTGGAATCAGGAAGAGAGGGGCACGGAGGTGGGATGGAGGACAGACAGAACCCTTCCCCAGCCACCTGCAGCTGTGTGCCGTGTTTCCTTGGGGATATGCTGTTCCCATGGGTTTCAATTCTCATATGCAAAAAATTTCCTTAAAAAGCCACAGGAACCTGGAATAAGCACATGGAGCACCTATGGGGTGGACGTGCCTCTCTCATTTTCCTTTCATGCTGCAATAAACTGGGAACATGGAAGGAGGGGGCATTTGACAGGGCAGTTTCCTACTGCTGCATGCTGGCCTTGGATGTGGCTGGAGTTTAAAGCGGGATACTCTGAGGGACATCTTGGGGACATTTGGGGACCATCCTGGAGGCATTGGGAACACCCTCAGAGACCTCGGAACACACTGAGGACCTTGGGAGCACCATGACGGTCTTAAGGTTACCCTTGGGGGCACACTGGAGACCTCAAGGCCACTCGGGTGACCTTGGGGACAACCTTGAGGACACTGTGGGGACCTTGGGGATACACTGGGGGTGGTATGGAGACCTTGGGGACACCATAGGGACCTCGGGAACATCGTGGGGAACTTGAGGACACTGAGGGCACACAATGGGAACCCTGGGCAGTGATGAGCTCTTGACTGTACCTCCCAATGTCGCCTTGTTGGGTTCCATCACAGGAATGGTTTCCCCTGGTTTTCCTTCCTTGGCCAAACCAGAGTCCCTGACCGAGTGTTCCACAGCACTAACTGCTCTTAGACTTTCTGATTCCCTGGAATGCCCCAGCCAGTCCTAAGGCAATGAACTCCCGCACTGGATACAGGCACTTGGATCATCCTGAGGGGACACTGACCCCATCCTGCTGCCTTCCCACCACATTACATCCCTGTGTAAGCAGGTCCACAGTCAGGAGGTACCAGGTTCCCTGGACACTGATGCTGTGAGAGCTTCCCGGTGTCCATGTGAATAAACCTCAGGAGTACCCTGGAATGCCAAGCTCTCGGTTGGACATCTGCTGGGGCTGGCCCAGTGGGGCATCCCAAAATCTGAGGCTGCCCTAAACTTGACAATGGCACCCTGAGGGGTTAATGTATCTCAGGAATGTGACTCTGGCAAGGGTTCCCAAAGTCGGTGCTGTGGGGTCTCTCTGTAGCCTCCCAGGCACCAGCTGCCAGACTCGCTGGCACTGTGGGAAGTGTTCTCCAGCTCTTGGCGAGTGTGCTGCTGACTCACCTCCGCCAGGGCCAGCTCACAATGAACCATCCCACGGCTAATTCCGGCAGGAGCTAATTCCTGATGGTGGGACATCTTTCGGTAATGGATCACCACTGCTGCTCCAAGCCCTCTGCTGGGCATGCGGACAGCAGCTGACAGCTGTGGTTCATCACCCGGGAGGATCAGACCAGAGGGAAAATCCCTCTGGGAATTCTACACTGCTTCCTATGAAACCTTACAGCCATTCAGGACTTAAAGGGAGCTGAGAAAAAAGAGAGAGAGAGGTTTTGGAAAAGGGCATGGAATGACAGGAAAAGGGGCATGGGCTTCACACTGCCAGAGGGCAGGGTTAGGTGGGATATTGGGAAGAAATTCTTGGCTGTGAGGGTGGAGAGGCCTTGGCACAGGTTGCCCAAAGAAGCTGTGGTTGCCCCATCCCTGGAAGTGTCCAAGGCCAGGTTGGACGGGGCTTGGAGCAACCTGGTGTAGTGGAAGGTGTCCCTGTCCATGGTAGGGGGTGGGACTGGGTGGTCTTTAGGGTCCCTTCCCACCCAAACCATTCCATGATTCAATGATTTATTCCCCCAGCAATGCTGGTGATTCCTCCCTTTGGGAATTCCACCCGCTCTTGTCCCTGGGTGGGGCACAAGTTAGCAGCATCCTGAGCGCCGAGGGACACGGGGCTACGAGGGCCACATCTAGACAGGATCACAGCCCCTCACCCGTGTTCCTCCATATCTCCCCACATCCCATCGCGTACCCCCACACTGCCCTCTCCAGCCAGAGCCGCACTACCCCCCATCTCCCGCCGCCCTCCCCAACATGCCAGCCCCCGCCTACGCCACTACCAAGATGGCGGCAGGGGGCGGGACCAACCCGTTCTTTCAGCCAATAGACAGAGGCAGCAGGGCGGGCGTGACCACGCCTCTCTTGCCTTCCAGCCAATGGGGAGAGGAGGGCTCGGCCGGCGGCAGCCAATGGCGGCGCGGGTCGGTGTGGCGGGAAGCGGCGGCGCGCGATGGCGGGCGCGGGCGGGCGGAGCTGGCGGGACCTGCTCGGTACGTGGGGCTGAGCGGCACCGGGGGGAGCTCCGGGAGAGTCCCGGCTGGGCCGGGGGGCAATGTCCCTCCTCTGCCCAAATATGCCCCATCTCTCTGCCCTCATACACCCCCCTCTGCCCTCATACGTCCCCTTCTACCTTCCGCATACCCCCCTGCCCTCATACACCCACTCTGCCCTGCTACGCTCCCATCCTCATACACTTCAAACAGCCCCCTGTGCTCTCATACACCCCCTCCCGTGCCTTCATACACCTCTCGTCTTTGTACGGCCTCCCTCCCATCATACACCGCTCCCGCCCACCTCAGACCCCCCCTTCTGCCCACCTCTAACACCCACCTCTGGCCTCCTCGTACAAATCCCCCTGCCCTCCTACCGCACTCCATACGCTCTCCTCTGCCTTCCTCATAACCCCTTGCCGTCATACACCCGGCTGTCCTCATGCACTCCATCTGCCTTCACACAGGCCCCTCTCTCTGCCCTCGTACCCCAGCAGCAGGGAAAAGAAGGCCTTGGGGCCTGTGGGAACAAGCTGTGGTCATAAAACAAACCCAAACTTCTCAGCAGGGAGAGCCAGGAAGCGGAAAAGCCCCTTTGGGAGTGGATCAGAGCTCCAGGAAGCGGCTCTGAGGCTGCTGGATCACCACCAGAACCTGACTGACCTCCTCCTGGAGGTAGGAGCCGGATGGTTCAGGGGGGTCATGGTCCGGCTGGGATGGAGGGAGATCCCAACTGGAGGTGGGTTCCACCAGCTGTGCAGTGAATGTCCCAGGAACACAGTTTTCATGACACATGGAAAGAAAAACCAACACTGCAGGAGTAAGCTGAAGTTTGGAGGTCTGTGTTGCCAAAATGAGATTATTTTCTTTTTCCTTTATGTTTTACACTTACAGACTGAAAATACTTAAGCGTGGTTTGGATTTGGGACAAAGAGAAGTCCAGCATGTTTTTCTTGGAGTCAGAACTGGCTTCTTGTGAATCTAGGGAAAAAAATCAGGAGAGACTTGTGTTTTCTCTGAATTATCAACCATTTCTGACTACCCTGACTGTCTTCATGACAACCTAGACTTGACCCAACCTTCTGATTTGGCCACATTCTTCCTCTTCTCACACAGTTTTGATTTTACAGCTGCAACAGCTGTAAAATCTGCAAACACCTCCCATACTTCGGGATCTTTCTTTCTCTACAGAGTATTTACCTTTATAAAAAAAAAAAGGGTGAGCTTTCACTAGAAAAGGATCCAACATTTGGACATGTTTCATCAAATATTTGTGGCCATGTGGTTTCACAGAAAGGACTTGAAAGATGGGAATTACAAAAATTCTGCTCCTGGCACTGCTGCTGAGCTCTTGGATGCTGGGGGGTGAGGAACTTTGACCTGTATCTCCTTTTTTCTGCACAAAATAACAATAACTATAGATATATCTCTTGCAAGGTGCCCTGGAATCTGTGGTATTTCATTTTCTCATGGGGGAGGTCGGTGCTAATTTCACTTCAGTTGCTCCAGCAGTGCCAGAGCTTTAGAGGGAATAGGTTTGTAAATGTGTGTAACAGACATCTAAGGGTTTTTTTTGCTTCCAGGTGGGAGATTCAGCCAAGCCAAGTGTGCAGGATGGCACAGAGCAGCTGGGAGTATCATCAGAGTCATTTATAGGTTAGTATCTACTGGGGATACAGTGAGGAAGAATTCCTCCCATACTGAATGTTTGCCTGTTAAATGCAACACCACTTTTACTTCCTATTCACTGTTCTGGTCTTTTTCTTACTTACCTGCTGATGACACCCATGGCAAGGTGTCAGTCCTTGAATACTTTTTTATTTGAAAGTGTTACAAGGCTAAAACACAAAAATCTGCTTCTCAGGGACATTCCATCTCTGTGGCTGTTCTTCCCCTGTTTTATGTATAGTAAAGGAATCATACATGGAAATAAAAATAATTTACTCTGTACAATGGATGACATTTGTGCTGGAAGGGGTTTGAGCTATGGGATTCTGTCTTGGAAGTGTCCAAAGCCAGGTTGGACGAGGCTTGGAGCAATCTGGTTTAGTACAAGGTTTTCCTGCCCATGACACAGGGTGGGATGAGATGAGCTTTAAGGTCCCTTCTGACCCAAACCATTCCATGATTCATAGCCAGGTTTCCAAACCCTTTTTCCTCCCATGTTTACAGCTTTCTGCTTTGTTGTTTTGTTCAGTCTCTGTTCTGCAGGAACAGGCCTCCAAACTGGACGTGCCCACAGCGACCTTGGCAGCCAAAACCGCCGTTACCAACATAGAGCGGATCTGCCAGGCTCCTGCCAGCCCCTCTCCAGTGCCACTGCTGAGCTTGGACCAGAGAGTAAGGGGGAAGGGTTAAATTTAATTTATCTAGAGAACAGCAATGTTAGGTTTGTCTTTAAGCCCAGTTTATCTGCTCTGATAAAGCCCCCAAACATGGAGGGCCCGAGTGGACAATTAGTCACTGATGTGTCTGATTCGCTCACAGAAGTGCAAGATGTGTGAGAAGTTTGGGCCTTTTCCGTGAATTCTCTCTACCATTCAACCCTTTAAAAAGCAACAAACAGGGGAAAGCAACAAATTATTTTTCTAAGAACGTGTTATTCACAAAGGGAATTATTTCTGCTTCATTTCCGGTGTGATGCCAGAAGAGGTTGTCCTCCTTGCTTCAAACGGTGAAGGATTTGCTGGCAAACAATGTGTTCTGTCGCTCCCTCTTCTGCCAAGAAATGTGGAAAATGAAGGTAATCACTCAAGGAGAAATGGTGTGGCGTTATAGACCATGGGATTTTATCTGTGGGATGTGACATTCCTGAATTCCATAGAATGACTGTGGTCTTCCTGACCTACCGAAAGTGTGATATGAATTATAAATGTTAGGGGGTTTTGTTGTTTTGTTTATTTTAAAGCAAGTTCAGTGGGAAATGCCTTGTCTCTGCTGTGGGATTTGCTTTTTCACAGGACTCAGTTGAAGTTTGGAATTAGGTGAGTTATTAGAAACTGCCTCAAAGGAGTGTTGGAAGCACCTTGATCAAATGCTGGTGTGGGGAGCTCTCCAGGTCCAGTGCAGAAGCTCTCAGCTGGCTGTGGGGTGACCCAGTCCCAAAGTCCTTCACGTGCTTTGCCAACAATAGTCCTTCTGTCTTTGCAGTCCTGGTTCTCCACCCAGCTTATCTGGGAATGGTGATAAGCCAAAGTGAGGTCACAGAGAAAGAGATAGCAGATAACAGGTTGTATTGCCTCACAAATGGGATGTCTTGATTTCATTTGGGTTTGTTTTGTGAAGACAAGTGGTGTTGTGAGGGGAGTTCAGGGCTTTTTGTGAATAGGGCAGTTCTGATTCCTCCCTGTTCTGATGGGAAAGGAGGAAGAGGCTGATCTGCCTGGATAAAGAGCCATGCTCTGGTCTCACATATCTGCTTCTGGGCTGAAAATAGACCCCGTGTGTTTCACAGGCTGATTAAGATCTTCTGGTCCTGGGGCAGACATGGGATAAGAGGGAGATAAGTGCTGCCCTGTAACTGAGGATGTTACAGTAAGAATTAGGTTGTGAAGACAAAGTATGTGGGCGAGTTTGGGGTCAGAGTATGAGGTAGCTGCTGGTGGCTGCAGAAAGCTCCCAGGGCTTTGGCTTTTCCCCTGTGCCCAAGGTTCCCAAATGCCTCTTCCTTCCCAAGGTGGGAAGGTTTGGGTTCTGTCTGGAATGAGTAGAAGCTGCTGCTGCACTTTTCCCTGCCAGGTGCACCCTGCAGTGGTGTTTTGCTGGCTCAGGACTCTCTTGGACATGCTGTCCCAGGCAGGAGCTGGAAGGGATGTTGCAGGGCAGCAATTTGATCCACATAGGAGCGATGTCTGGTGCAGATTTTTGACAAAGGTTGTTCATTTTTCCCCTCAGTCCATTGGTCTGTCTGCCTACACGATTTCAGTGTTGTTTCCTGTAGTCTCCTACAATCCCAGTCTATATTGGGATATAGATTTGAGAGCAGCAAACTCGTTCCATAGAGACTAATAAATAGTTAATAGACTAAAAGACAATTCTGTAATCTGGATCTGGATCTGAATTAACAAGACCTGAAACTCAGCACTGTTACCTGTTTCCTGGAATATCCACTACTCCTTTGAATGTGCAGAATCTGCATTATTCTGGGGGAAAAATATGGATATATAAATTACTTGTCCATGAAAATTTAAACTGATGCATCTACAACTGTAAACCATCCAAAATCTGTAGGAAGGGAAAAAGCAAATGTAATCTTTCCTCATTGGGCATTTCCTGGGGTATCAGGTTTAAATTTTAGCAACTTCCGGATAGTTTGAATAAACAGAATTCAGCTTTATTTTTTATATATCATTTGCATCAGCTAAATGTAACCTGTGACCTAATGGTAACATCTCTTTAGGAGCCTCCAGTGCTGGAAGTCGTGTGGCACCTGCACAGTGGTGACATCGCTGGACTGGCAGACCTGCTGGAGAGGTGAGCAGAGCTTTGTGGCTTTGCAGATGTATTTAATCTCTTAAAGCCTATTGAAATATAATCGGGGATTAGTCATGAGTATTCTGGACCCAGGATATAGTCAAGTGCTGGCAAGGGATCAGATTAGCAGGATTAAGAAGTTACTGTGGGTTTGAGAGGTTACTCTGGGATGATTAGCCCAGTTTAGATGCAGTGCCTTGTTGATGTCCACCAAATGAGCTGCTGGACTTGAGAAGAAGTCTTGCTCTACAGAAGTTGAGTGCTTCCACCTTCACAAAACCTTACATTTTTGATCTGGCAGAGTTAATCTTCAGAGAATAGTTAGTCTAAGAATTTTTTTTTTTAATTTCCCATCCCCCCTCCCCCCCCTGCAAGTGTAGGCCAGGTTGGATGGGACTTGGAGCAAACCGGTCTAGTGGAAGGTGTTCCTGGCAGGGGGTGGAATTGGATGGTCTCTCAGGTCTCTTCCAACCCAAACCATGATACAGTGCTAAAAAGAGTGTGTATATATGTATATAAACAGTACATACAGAATTATCCTTTGTAAAGTTTAAGTTGTTTCCTTATGGTGTCAAAGAAACATTGCAATAAGCTTTTAGGCTTTTGATACTGGTTTAGATGTTCATGATGAAAGCCTTCAGTGCCCACTGTGCTTCACATTTAAGGGAACCAAAGACACAGATTAAGACCTGAATTCCTTTTTTAAAGTATTTTAATCCAAGTATCTTAGAAATTGGAACTGAAATTCTTCTAGCAGAGCTTTCTCAGTGGAAACACTTTCATATCAGACATAAGGAAATACCTAGATGCACAATTTAACTTGCATTTTTGCCTTTGTGTGTGTGTGTATGTGTTGTAGAATCTTTTTATAAAGCAAATAATATAAAAAGCAACTGTTTGTAAAGCAAATGTGCTGGTCCAAATTAAATAAATGAAATTTAGGGCAGAGTGCACAGGTGGCTCTTCCCTGAGCCCAGAGGATGGTAGTGGAGACAACAAGGAAACAGGAGGGACTGAACTGAAGGTGGTTTTGTGTGTTGCAGGAGTCCAGCAGGCTCTGAAGTGGTGGAGTGGCTGTGTAGTGGCCTCTGTGGACTCTGCCAGCAGGCTGGGAACATCCCCTCTGGGGACACGGAGCTGGCACACCACCTTCTCTCAGGCAAGTCCCTCATCTGTGCGCGGGGCAAAACCTTGGAGGTGTAAAAACACAAGCCTCACTTTGTGTTTTCTTATCTTGTTTCAGTGAGGGGAATATATTTTTTATATATTTGTCAAATTTAGCAATTTTTTCCGCTTAAAAAAATAATTGGTTTGAATTTTTCCATCCCCTGGACTTACAGTAACATAAGAAAATGTAGTTGGGAAGTGTGTGTGGCAAGGGCTGATACACTGTATGACACACATGCAAAGTGTCAGAGAGATTTTGGACCACAAATATTTGGGAGTTCCATTCCCCCCTATGTCATTTCCTATTATTTATTTTCTAATTTTATTTAGGAAAAAATCTCCTCCAGCCCCTCTGAGTTCTGCAGTGGTCACCTGTGAATTCTTTAGTCTTTACAATCCTTTAATTTCTGGATCCTTTTTCCTGGGAGTAATTTTACTCCAAGACAATAAATTGTTCCTGCTAAGTGGTGAACGAGGCTTTTCAGACACTGTTTGGACAGGTGGGAGGGGAAAGAGCAGGTGATCTGTGTGCAAGGGGGCTGCTGAAACACCAATTCTTTATTGATTTGCAGACTTTGCCATCGTGTTCCTTCAGAATGGCTTTGAGCAAGCTTCGGAGCTGGGAAGGAAGGTGGAATTCCAGAAGGTTCCCTATGTAAGAACAGAATAAACCTGGTTACAAACAGTGCTTTTAAAAAGTAATTCCATTATAAACCTCTAGGTCTTGCTGAGTGGAAATAAATCAGAGCTTGGGAGCAGCAAGGAAAGGGTGGTGGTCCGGGTGCTGGAGTGGGGCAAATGGTGAAGCCAGAACAGAGGCTGTTTGTATGGAGCACTGCTCCAAGGTGGCACAGCAAGGGCTTTTTAAACTTCCTCTCACCTTGATTGCTCTGTTTTTTCCATTTGAATGTGAGGCATGGAATGCTGGTAAGAATGGGGAATGCTGCCCCTCTGTCTATTTTACCTGTTCTACTGCAGAGCCTGAGGATAAAGTTAAGCTTTCAGAGGGATAAAACTCTTGGAGTCAATTTACCTTTTCTGCATAGAACTGCAGCTCTTTGAAACTCTAAATGCCTCAATTTGTCTATTTTGAACAGATCTGCCATGCTGTCTTGCAGAGAATGCTGGCATGTAAGTATTGCTGTGATCCTGGCTTTATGCAGCCACTGCTGTTTCTAAGACTTCTGTTCCTTGTTCGCTGCTAAATCCCTAAGGAGAAATCCTTTGCCTGGCTGCTTTGCCTGTGCTGTTGTGCATAATATTTATGCTACTGATTTTATTTGCCTCTGCTTTTCCCTTTGCTTTTTAAAGTGTCTCCAGACACTGCAGATAATTTCTTGCCTTTTATGCCACTTTGTTTTGATGCTCTCAGCTGTGACATCAGATAGATACCTGACCTGATTTTGTGATTTTTAACTGGTTTGCTTGGAAGCAGGTGGAACACAGGGGTTAGACCAGGATCAGTTTGCTGCTTAGATTTATTTTTTTCTGCTTAGTGAATTAAACTTTGAATTCACAATATTATAAGTGATTTTGCTGACTCACCGTTTGGGCTTCAGACTTATCTTTTGCAGAACCTATTTTTTATGCTGAGCAAAGACATCTAATGTTTGTGTGTAGTCTTTAAACAGCCTTCATGAACTGACAACGTGCCTGCCTTGGCCTGAGCTGCCCTGACTGCTGCGGGCTCAAGTGTAGCAGCGCCTGATTTACATGCAAATCCTGATGCAGGAAGACTAAACACACATGGGGGTTATTTTTGTCTTGTGTCACAGCTGATCTTCACGGGGAGATGCTGTACCTGCTGTTGTCGCCTTCCTTACACCCCTCACACCCCTGGTAGTGTCACCTGACTGCACGGCTGCTGTCACTCCCCTGTCTCCTTGGTGACAGTGCTCCACCACTTTCCTTGTTGGCACGTTTCCTGCTCAGTGCTGCTGCAGAGACTGCTGCTTTTCCTCTGCTGGAAGGTGACCCAAACACACCACTAGGTCTGTCCCCTCCATCCTGTGCCATTCCCTGTGGGCACTGCCAGCTCCATCCCTTGCTCCAGGTCTCTCAGGGAGAGCTGTCTGTACACAGAGAATCCTCACAGACCTTGTGAGTGCTTCTAAAAAGGGAAAGCTGCAAGAGAAGTGCTTTATTATTTAATACGTATGAATCCTATCTCAGGTGGCCCCTTAACAGTTGAAAACCATCCCTTCTCAACAGAGGAGTAGGGATTTTGGAGGAGGAGGAGCAGACTGTTGGCAGGCAGACAGGAGGCTGCATCCTGCTCTTCATTTGACCTTCCCGTTTGCGCAGCCTGCACTGCCACACTCGCAGTCTGTGTGCCTGCAAAATGTATTACATGAGTTTTATGCAAGATATTTTATTAGTCTATAATTTTGGGTCACCTTTGAGGGGTTTTGCTTCATTAATCTTTGGAGAACATTGGGATTTTTTGTGTAGAAGCATTCCCTATTACTGAAGACCTTCAGAGGAGGAGAAGGACAGGCTGGAGTAGCATGGGAGGGCTGTGCTTCACAGTGATGATCTGACTGTGTTGAACTGCTGTGCCTGAAGATAAGCTGAGTTTATCTCCTTTTCTTTATTCTCTCCTACTTAACCTTAAAGTATTCCTCATCAGGAGAGGAGAGTGTTACCTCCCAGGGCTGTAATGGCATGTGAGGCACGTCTGGTTCTCTGCCACTGCTAAGTGAATTGTCTTTTAAGGGTTTTTCTCTTCTCTGAATTATTTTTATAAACAAACCAGGCTCCTTTAGCTGCTCAGCGAGGAGGGTTTTCAAGGCAGGATGGCACAAGGAGCAGAAGTGCTGCTGCAGCAGGCTGCAAAGCAAAGGGTCTCCCAGTCTGTGGGCTCTGAGTGGTGTGGGCTGATCGTCAAGACAACGGTGCTGCGCAAGCTGCCAACCTGTTTGATCTCCACCAGTCATTTTGGGGCAGATCTGGCTTTTAAAGGAATTTCTGTTCAGCAAATGCAACATTACAAACGTGTGGCCCTCCCCCAGCCTGCTCTTTGTTTGGACCAGGGTTCCCAGGCTGGTTAATTCAGCTTGTGCAAATCCCTGCCTCCAGACAGGCTTCCCTTTCCTGCAGCTTCACAGTGCTCACACTCACACTGTTATGTTTGGGTTTGGAAATTATGTGCATTTTTTAGATTTATGTGCATTTTTAGACAGCTTCATTATTAGCACGTTCTGGGGAATGTTTTAAATTGGTTCAAGGTCAGTGGTAATAATTTCTGAGTCTCTGGGTCACTTTGGAAAGAATTTGGTGAGAATTTAACACTGCTAAATGGCTTCTGCACATTTCCCTAACAGGGTCACCTTTGAAAAGGTGCACAAATTGCTCATTCGTATTAGTTCCTGTGCGGTGTTTACTGTCACAGTTCCTTCCATTTCTATTTCTCATTGTGTTTTTGTGCATTTTGGGGAACAGGGGTGCTCGATGCTGTTGGTAAAGAGAAGCAGAAAGATGTTTCCACGTTGCAAGCTGTGAGGTTCTGGTAAGAAATGCTCCAAATAGTGTCAGGAGTAGGTTTTTATTCACTGTTACACTTGTTACTGAAGTAGGGAGAATGGTTGGGCTGGTTTTTACTTGTTTACACATACCCCACCCCTCCCAGTGCTACTTGTCTTTGGTATTCTTCTCTGATAAAATATGTGCAGATGAAAGTGCTTGTGAAAAGATAAGGGCCAGGTTGGAAAGGGGGTTCTGGTACGGCTGGAACCAACCTTGGAGCCCCCTCTTGGCATGCAGAAAATTCTCCAACAAGTGTTCTCACTGCTCCTGGAAGGTGCCATCACCTCCAGTTCCTGCTTCCAGGCCTGTTTTGTTTAACTGCTTTGTACATGTCACCTTTAGTCCTGTGCTGGGAGATACATTAGACTCAGATTTGTAAATCTGATGTGTACACAGTGTTGAGTAGCCATTACACTTTTGTAAGAAAAAATACATACAAAAAGTATATATTTGTGGCAATTTGAGAAGGTGGATGTAGAATAAAAATAAGTCATTCACCTTAAGCAGCACCTGGTTGATCATATTTAATCAGCGACTCGTAGGTCATATTTAATCAGTACCTGGTTGATGCTATTTAATCAGTACCTGGCTGATCATACTTCCTGACATTGTTTCTGGTATTTCCTTGTCCTTTGCAGGCTGAATGTGTTCAATGTGTCTGTTTATGGAAGTGTGGCTCACCCGGATTCCATGCGGCAGTTCTTCAGACACACCCTGACCGAGGTTCTCACCTACAACCCAGTGCTGAAAGGTAGGAGTGGGTGGGGAGAGGTGTCTCCAGGTGTGTCTGGAGCTCCATCCCACCCAGACCTTCCTGTGTGGGGTCCAGCCTGGAGGACCCAGAGCCAGAAAAGCTGGCTGGCTCCCCAGCTCCTTCTCAGAGTCCACATAATCAGAGTGCCAGATCAGACAAAAAAAGTCATCTGGGCTTTTAGAGGGTCATAGATCAGGAGAAAAATTCAAACAGAGCTTCAGCCAAGGGCTCGTGCACAGATATTTGGAATAATATCTAATAGCAGCCATGAGAGAGCTCTGGCTTCTGGGAACAGTTTTGGGCAAAGGAGAAGCTCAGTGGGAGACAGGGTGCTGCAGACAGAGCTTGGGTATAAACCAGGATAACCCTACGTGCTGGGTTTACACACAAGACATGAGTGTTTTGGTGAATGAGGGAGTAAGGCAGGAAGGTTCTAATCCCTGATCAGTAACTGTGAAGCTTGATGTTTTTAGGAAGAAGTATGTCTGAGCTATAAAATCTCCGATAAAACCCCTGTGAGCTGTGATCTGGAGCTGCTTGCCTGTTGTGTGGGAGAGCTGTGTCATTGCTGGCTTCCAGATGAGAGAGGTTAATGAGGGAAAAGCTTATTCCTTGCTGATTCTCTGTGCATGTGCCATGTCAGCCTACGCGTGTGTGGTCACAAAAACAGCTCTGGGGTGGCAGTGCCATAGTGGAATGGCACAGTCCTCGTGCCACAGTCTGTGTTCCAAAAACAAATGGGAAAGAGGGCAGTTTTTAATGTGTTTGGCTGCCAAAGGGAAACCTTGTGTGGTCAACTATTGCATTTTGAGTGTGTTTTAAAACCTGTTGCTGAAGTTTTCTTTTTCTGGATGTAGTGTCTGATGCCATCCAGATGCAGAAAGAGTGGAGCTTTACCAGAACTTCTTCCCTGCTCACTACCCTGTATCAAAAAGTATGTCTGCCTGGTGTCACAAAGAGAACTTTATTTTGTTGGGTTTATATTCACTGAATCTCAAATGAGATTGTTGAAAATCAGTGCAGTGTTCCAGTCCCAGGATCCAAGCCAGCTGCCAGAAACTGTGGGCAGGAGGAAGCATGAAGGCAAAGAACTACAGAGATTTTTGTTTATGCAAAACTCTTAATGAGAATGAAGATGCTGATTGGAGATGTGAATTGTCACTGTTACAGAACATGGCATGAGTTCTGAGAGAACTGGAATATTACTGTTTATTGTAACCAGTGCTGGTTCCAAGCCAGGCTGATCTCTGGGCCTGGGAGGCTGATGCAAAAGCTGCAGGATAGCTTGAGAAAGTCCCAGTAAAGCCACTTGCCTGTGCCACCTTTTCTTACACAGAAAAGTCAGTCTTGTCTGTATCTCCCTCTTTTGTGTGACTATGTGTCCCAGCTAACAGGAACTGCCATCACTCTTCCAGCTGTTGGTGGCATTCAGTGCGAAGGAATCCATCTCCCAGCTGCAGCAAGTCCTGGAGACCCACGAGGTGAACTGGCAGCACGTCCTGTCCTGTGTTTCCACACTGGTGGTGTGTCAGGCCGAAGCTGAGCAGCTCTTCAAGGGTATGTGGGCACTGCCAAGCTAAGAAGTGCCTGTGCTGCTCGGATGAGGAGCAGAGCAGACATCCATGGGTGCTGTCTGGGATTCCTGCATGGAAAAGAACAGCAGAACATCTGCTTTTCCACTCAGACATTCCCTGTCAGCAGTGATAAAAATGCCAGGCCTCATGTCTTCTACTTCTCAAACTTTGTGTACAGCTCTAATGGTTATTCGATAGTTACCTTCATTATTAATTGGTGTAGTGATTACTGAAGCTTAGTTCTAGCTCACCTTTACTAGTAGAGCTTGTTTGTGAGAGTTCCTTACTGATTATCCCGGTGCTGGACTTCCTGCAATTTCTATAGGGAATCTTAAGAGTGTTTGACTGTTGAAAGTGCATGAAAAAATTAAATCAGATCCCAAAGGTTCCCCAGGCTGCAATACATGTCCTGCCTTATGTTTTATCACAGACATTTGTCTTCATTTACTGTAGAAAATTACAGCACCATTGTCAAAAGCAAAGTGTGAGGTTATTGTTTTATGTTCCTAGATCTACTGAGCCATCTCCTGCTAAAGGCCTTTGGGAATTATGACATGGAAAATATGATCACCGCATTCCTGATCGCTCGTCAGGCTGCTCTGGAGGGCCCTGCTGTCTTCATGCCTTACTCTGAGTGGTTTAAGGTAAGACTAAATGAGGCCTGACTGGTGAGCTTTCTTTTAGTTGTGTGAGGAAACCTGTGCATAAGGAATGTTTTGCTGCATGGAGAAAGCCTTTTTCCAGATAGGATAGTCAGGAGAAAGGTGGGAAAAAAAGAGAAAGGGTAATGAGTGATTGTATTGATATTAGGAATGATTGAATATTTATTACTGCCTTTGTGTCTGCAAAGAATAAATTTATTTGGCTTTCCCCAGTCTTCCCTCCTTTCATCTTTTAAGTTCACCTTGCCTGTCTTAGTTATTTCCCAGGAATGCAGACATGTAATTCCTGTTATAATCATCATCTTGGATATATTTCAGTATCTTGATATCCAGCACTGTTGTTACTGCATAAGTGGTGGGCTGTGGCAGAGGAAGCATTCCTGTTTCCTGGAGGTTTGCATGCAGCTGTAATTGCTGTGTATGACCTTAGAGATAATTGGTTGTTACTTTTAATTGTAAATAGGTTGGTATTTTAGGGATGCAAATCTCCACATAAATTCAACCTGGAAATTCCTTTGTATGAGTTTGCAAATCCAAGCTCAGCTTTGGCTGATAGAGTGTTCAGGAGGTATCAAAAGGTAAACTGGTTGTGTTCTGTGTAGTCTCAGACTGGTTATTTTCCTTAGAATGCCCAGGTAAACCTGTGTAGAAACCTGCAGATTTGTGTTTCCATCACGAATCTCAATCCTTTGGTGCATCTTGGTGTTGTCTTGTTTAACTCTGAGTGTTCTCATGGCAGCAAACTTCTGTAGAGGCTTCTGTGAGTCTGTGCTCTGAAAGCTGGAGCCCTCTGCTCTGGAGCCAGGCTGGGAGAGCTGATGGTGTTTAGCCTGGGGAAGAGGAGGGTCTGGGGAGACCTTAGAGCCCCTTCCAGTGCCTAAAGGGGCTCCAGGAGAGCTGGGGAGGGACTTTGGACAAGGGCCTGAAGGGACAGGAAAAGGGGCGATGGCTTCCCACTGCCAGGGCAGGGTTACATGGGATATTGGGAAGAAATTCCTGGCTGTGAGGTTGGTGAGGCCCTGGCACAGGTTGCCCAGAGAAACTGTGGCTGCCTCATCCCTGGAAGTGTCCAAGGCCAGGCTGGATGGGACTTGGAGCAACCTGGTCTAATGGAAGGTGTCCCTGCCCGTGGCAGGGTGTTGAAGTGAGATGGGCTTTAAGGTGCCTTCCAACCCAAACCATTGTGGGATTCTGTAAACATTCTCTGGAGACTTTTCTCCAGAAAGATTCCCCTGACGGAAAAGGGATGTCTGGGATTTGTGTGCTGTTATGGCAGCACCGGCATGAGGATTCTCTCCATGCTGAAAGGCTCTCTTGTCATTTTTCCCTGTTTCAGGCTTCTTTTGGGAGTGCTGGTGGCCACCACGGGAGCAGTAAGAAAGCTCTGGTCTTCCTCTTCGAGTTCCTGTCAGAGCTGGTGCCCTTTGAAGCTGCCCCATACCTGAAGGTGAGAAGGTGCTGACAGGTGGTTTTCAGATTCAGAACTGCCCCAAAGTGACCGTCTTTGTGCCTTTGAGCAGGCTCAGCTAATTATTAATATTGTTATAGGAATTCCATTACTTCTGATACATTATTCAAACCCTTTTCTTCCTGAAATAAGGAAGGACAAGATTCTTTTATTTTTTGACTGGGAGAATTCCTTTAATGGAATTAAGTTTAAGCACTTCAGTGATTTTGTTTGTTTGCTGTTGTTGGGAAAAACTATGTGTCAGTTGCCATGAAAATGGTTTATCCTAAACAAAGCAATAATGCTTTCTTTGGGGAATATTTGAGGTAAGTGACTGTAAACATTAGTCAGAATTTTACACTGATTTCCTGTAAAAATGGCAAATCTGGTTGTGGTTTTCCTGTTTCAGGTCCATATAATGTACCCACCTTTTGTGCCAACGAAACACCGGTCCCTGCTCTTGGAATACATCACTTTGGCTAAAACCCGACTGTCTGACCTCAAGGTCAGTGAAAATTGTCTCTTTTGAGAAGAATTCCTTCTGGATCTGTCAATCCCTGCTGTGTGTGACTGCCTGCATCTCTGTAACTTCACACAGGTGGCCATAGAGGACATGGGGCTCTATGAAGACCTGTCTTCCACTGATGAGGCTGTGCAGGTACTGCTGCTCTGTCTGCCAGTTTTCTCATCAGCCACGTTCCTTTTCCTTTGGAAAAGCACTTAGGTTACCAACCTCCCTGCCATTCCAAGTTGGAGCATGCTGCTAGATCTCCAGCTTTAAGCCAGAGGGGTTAGTGGCCATAAATACAGGATTTCCCCAGATTTCATGAAAACTGGAGTAATATTTTGTGAGTATCTTGATTCTTTTCAGTAGAGCACATCATCTTTGTGGTGCTGTACCAAAGTGTGAATATTCAAAGGAGATTTGGAGATGGAATCTACAGTCTGCAGCTTCACACTGTGGTTCATGATAAATTTTGTGTAACAACAGTAATCTATAAGTAAGCATTTTGGTCAGACTAAGAGGCCTCACTTACACAGTCAGTCAGTACATTAAATACAGGCTAGAGACAGGGCGGTTGAATATACTGCAAGAACCCCAGTCCTGTGATGAACTGACAGTCATAAGTGAAGATTTAATTTAATTTTTCCAAGTCTGATCTGTTTGTCAGTTGAGAAACTTGTTGCAGTTTGAGGTGTGTTATGGCTCAAACAAGAGAAACCCGGGATGTCAGTCCCTCTGCCTGTAGGCACGGACTGGAAGTGGAGATGGTGCGTCTTGATTCCACATGTTCAACTAAAATAGAACCACAATAATCCAAATGCAGAACAGAAAAGGGAAGTTTATCACCACCCTTGATTTCTCACATCTTTCTCTCATTCTCTCTGGCAGCCCCAGGGCCAGGCACTCCGTGATGTTGAAAAGGCCCTTCAGATATTTGAAAATACAAGGAAGATCCCAACATCTGTGATAGAAGCCAGGTACTGTGTGCTTTTCAACTCTACCTGGATTTAGGTATTATAATAATAACAGTAATAATAATAGCTGAATGCAAATCAAAATAAGGAAACAAGAAAAATTGAGGATGTGAGCAAAGGAGGTTTGGGAAAGTTCTTCCCACTTCCTCAGGTGTCATCTTAATAAGGATATCTGTGGGGAGAGAGAACAGGCATATGCACCCACGCTAGAGAAGTCCAGAATTGTCATAATAAAAAGCAAAATTAAAGAAATTAATAGTTATTGCTAACCTGAACCTGCTCTGTCTGTGGTTATTCACACTGCCATGAATATTTCATATTTGCAGGAGCTGAATTAATTCCTGATGTGAGGAGATGGCACTTTGGACCTTTGGAATTGTTAATACTTTGCTCTGTTTATTTTCTCAGTATTTTCAGGCGACCATATTACACTTCCTGGTTCCTTCCTACCTTGCTCAGACCACGTGTGGTGAGTATTTGGCTCTTTTTTTGCTCCTCCCATGAGCTGTGTGTTTGTACACAGGTAATTTGCCCCTAACCTGTCTCTTTCTCTGTTGCAGCTCCCTAAAACCCCAGATGCATGCATGGCTTTTATAGACTCTCTGAAGAGGTATTGAGACGTCCCAGTGTCATTTTCTGTGCTGCTGGGCTTTCTTTTCAGGACACTTGATGTCAGATTATCAGAGGCTTTGACACCTTGGTTACAACCAACCTTGGCAGGGCTTTGTGGCCCAAGTTTGTGGCTTGCAGGTTGTGGATGGGGGAGCTTGTCTTTGTAGTCTTCAGGTCTGTCATCAGTCCTGTGGCCACTGTAAAATCATTATCTAGGAGTCCCTCTGGCTCCAGGCCGGGTATATTCTTATGCAAATTTTGGAGGATATAGATGAATATAAAATTTCCCCAGGAATATGAGCCCCCCTGTGAAAGCTTCTTTGGGAGAGGATGTAGGAGGAGTGGAAGATGAAACTTGAATCTCTGTTAGTGCTCAAGGGACACCAGGATCGTGCTCCAGGAGGACACAGCCCCTTTCAGGGCTCCAGCTTGCCCTGCATGCATGTTTAAAAGCGCTTTTCTGCATTGCAGAAGCAGCTTTATTTTACATCCAGTAGTTCCTCTGTAACCTCTCATGAAGGAAAAATGTTTGCAACACTGCCTGCAAATGAAGTACTTGGTCCTGCCTTGTCATTCCAGTCTGGCTCTAAAATTAAAGACTGGATCATTTTGTGAAATTAAAGTTGTAAGAGAAGCAGCTGACTTCCAGGGAGCCTTGTGGGACATGTTTTTAGCACCGAGTGCCTGCCCAGCAAGGAGAGGTCACACCTTGGGCTCGTCACGTTCATGTTTTACATGTGTGAATGCTGCATCTCACAGCTCACAGTCTCAGGAGATCTTAGACACCTACTAGATATGAAATAGGCATTAAAGCATGAATTAATAATATATATAGTATTGGTTTTGTGTGTGTTACGTGTGTGCAATACTTGCTGTGAAAGCCTTGGATAGAAATCTCTGCCCCTCGTGTCAGATGATTAAAAAATGCTTCAGATGCTCTTTATGCTTCAGAGCCCCTCTAATTACATTTCATAGCAGAGCTGTTGTTTGTACTTATATTTAATAAAACTGCAGTGTATGGTTATGCGGGATAATAAATATATTCTTTTTTTTATATAATTACAGAGCTGATAAAATACCCTCAAACTTGTACTCCTCATACCTGCAAGCCTGTCATGCTATGAAAGAGAAGATGTTACAAGGTAAAAAATACATTTACTTATGGATCAGTTTGAAAGGTTAATTTTTCCACTGATGCCCTCTGAATTGAAAATTCTCAGAGATTTGGGGCTAGATAGGTCTTTAATCCACACGTAAATAACTGTAAGTTCTTTATGTTGTGTCGAGGTGTTAAATAGTTACTCCTGTAATAACTTTCTCTGCCAGCCCTGCTTAGGTGGGAGTTTTGCAGTCCCTGAGAGCTCTGTACTGTGCTGAGGCTGCAGATGATGCCTGAGCCTGAGCTGGCTGAATTCCACCTCTGAGACCTCTCCATGAATCAGCGTTTGCAGCCTGAGCTGCTCAGCCCAGGCAAAACCTGCTTTGCTGGGAACCTGCTGTGCTGATCCCTTGTGCAATGGCACTGGTGCTGTCTGAGCTCCTGCCATCCCCTTTTAAGAGAGGATTAGGGACATCTGGGGGAACAGGAGGGGCTGGGATAGGATTGCAGCTCCTGGTTTTATAGGGGTTTTTGTGGGAGGGTCCCGATGATTTTTGGGTCCCATTGCTGGGTCGGTGTAATGGGTATTTAGTGAGCTCTGCTGTCTCTGTCAGCCAGTGGGTGTTTCTTACACACCTTCCAATGTTTTATATGAAATGAAAAGGTCAGGCTGGGGAGCAGAGATTGTTCCCAGAGCGTGGTGGGGATAAGTTACAGGTTCATACTCTGACTATGAAGATAAATCTGTAGCCGCCTCCTGCTCGGGGCCTTTGAGGCTCTGTGGAGATGCTGTGGCTGGAGAGGCGTGACAGCCCGTCCCCGGGCGCGGCAGATGTGCAGCAGGCTGGCTGCCGAGGTTGGCCTGGCAACCGGGTGGGATGAGGTCCCTGCGGGCCGGGCTGGGGATCCGGCAGGGGATCCGCAGCATCCCGGCAGGCTCTGCAGGGCTCCCGGAGCTCCACTGACCTCTAGTGGCACAGCCCGAGCCGAGTGCCAGCCTCCTGCTCAGCCTCAGCCGTGTCCTCTCCTGTCCCCTGCTCCCTACTCCCATCCATCCCCTACTCCCTGCTCTGTCCCTGGGCTCTGCACAGAGCCTGGATTTAGGGCAGGATTGAGCACTGGGCAGCCCCAAACCCTGTTTCTCACTCTCACGCAGATGACTCAGTGGTCTCCTAACACCTTATTTTACAGCGTGTTTACAATCAGTAACAACCTTTGTTATTTGCTGTTCTGCGTGATTTATTCCTGGCTCTCATACAAGAAGTTGTTCCTGTCTAACGAACTCTGGGTGGGTTTTGGGGCTGTGGCAGTTGCTGGTGGCATCTCTTTCTAGTGGTTAAAGGAATTTCCTTTTATTCCTTCTTTTAAACAAAAAGAACAGAGTAACATGTAGCATCTGGAGAAGTGCATGGTGTTGAATTGAGGAGAAGCTGATGATGTATCCATGCTGTAATATCTGTCTCTGCATTTTTAGTCTGATTCCAGTCTCTTGAGGACAGCAAATGTTTCTGTGAGGGGAGAGCTAAAGGAAGTAGGAAGAAAACTCTGAAAACAGAACTTTTTTTGGCTCTTGTCTTTAAAAACTGAATTCCTCTCTGCAACCAAGCATAAACTCATCAATTATTAATTAAATAGCACACCCTGAATGTAAAAACAAAGCTGTGTGTGTGGCAGATTGACAGTTTGGGGTTTTGTTAGAGCTTCAGGAAAAGTAAATTTTACAGAAAGTGCACACAGAGATTGCTGAATGTATTTCCTCTCTTCCTTGTCCAGATGAGTCCAAAGCAGAGCCCAGCCTTTCCAAAGAGCCTGTTGAGCAGCTGAAGGCTGAGCTGGCTGAGCTCAGGACACTGGTTGTGGACCAGACTCAGTGGGAAGGTAAGAGGGAGGCAAGTTACAACTACCCCTCATTCACTGTTCCAAAAGCTGCCTGAATAAAGTGTGGCTGATGCTGGCCAAAGCCACAGCAAGAGTTAATGCCATTGCAACCTGAAGCTGGAAATCCTTCAGAGCTGATAATCCTTCCAACTATGAATATATATATTTTAATGTCAGATGTATTCCTCTTGGTAAATTTGGGACTCCATCTTTGTAAGGATCACTTGGTACCACACCAGTCTCTGCAGCGCAATCCTGGGCTCTCCTGGTGACCTGGGCCCCCTTTCATATGTTAAAGTATATATTTCACTTGTTCTTCTTGCTGCTGTGGGGGGTTGCAAATGTTCCATGCCTGCTGTCCCGGTTCCTCTCTGCCCCTGTCGCCTCCCCACAGATGTGCCAGCACAGATTGCCGTGATTTCAGACAGACTCCGGTATGTCCTGAGTGACAGCAATGATGAGAATGAAGCTGCTCCTTTGAATTCTCCAATCCCAGTCTCCATTCCTGCCCCCAGGCTGGAACCCAGCCATCGGAGAGTGAGTACCATCTGGCTTGGGGAGAGAAACAATGGGGCTGGGAAAAATGCATCTGGATGGTAGCTGTGAAAGGCTGCTTTGTCTGCGGAGAGCAGGAAATGCACTTCCCCTTTTGTCTGCCTTGTCCTGCCTTGCACAGAATATTCATGTGTCTTAACCTCCTGGAAGTTGCTGGATGACAAGATCTAGAGGTATGTTCTGGCAGAGCAGTCCTGGGATGAGCAAGGCTTTCCTCAGCAGCCTTGTCTAGGTGTTTGTTGTGTGCTGGGATCATTCCTGGGCTGTTAGGGGTTTAATTTTCCATCCTTAGTGCCAGTGGATCTGTACAAGTTGGAATGAATATCATTAACCAGTGTGTCTCCTTGTTTTAGTATCAGGAAACATAATATACACAAAGCAGAAAACCAGGTCTAGATATCCAGCCTGACAAGCAGGAATTAGCAGTGTGGTTTTCATTCCAGGTTTATTCCTGGTTTTTGTTCCTGGTTTTTTTTTATTTCAGGTTGTTGATCTTTTGCTGACATCATTCTGCCAAGCCCTAATAGCTGCTTCCTCTTTTAACCCTCCTGACAGGTAAGATGTGAGTCAAAGAGTAGGGAAATCAGAATGGGTTGATACACCAGAATTCCAGCACTTTTCCAGGGGCATGGAGGAACTTTAGCTGCTCATTCCCATTGTGCTAGGCTGGCAGCTGCAGGCTGCTTCACTCAGAGCTTCTACACTCTGAGGATTAATGTGCTTTGAAGTATTTGTGTAAATAAAACATGTTTCTCCTCTGTTGTTACTGATCCCTGCAGAAAAGTGGCCTTTGCTCTGTTTTGTGCTCTGTGACAAGGTTTAAACACTCCCCACAAACACGATGTGATCATTCAGAGGTTTGCAACTCAGTGGTGGGGGATGGCAATGAAGCAAATACTTTTTGTCCTGGAATTACTTCCCCCTGGCAGGGACTCATTTGCTTCTGGCCTGGCTGAGGAGGGAGAGGCAGCACTGCTCTGCCCCTGGAAGAACTGTTGATAGCCACGTTCTTCATGATGTAGCAGAGTCTGTAAACATTATGGGCAACATGTCAGTGGAAAATCACTTTGTTGGAAAACAGCAGCGTGCTGAGGAGCTGGCTGGGCTCCCAGCTGGGGCTGCTCTCTGGAGGGCAGCGTGCTCTGGCAACCAGAGCATCCTTCCCTCTCTTACAGTGGTTTGCCCTGGAGCAGATGAATCAGTGCTAAAAACCTGTACTGGGAAGTCACTGTGATAAACAAGAGTCCCAGGAAATCGTCTCTAACCCAACTCCCACCTGATCTCCTGGAGGATGGGTTTTTCTGTGAGCTGGGTGGAAAAGTCCCTTCCTCTGCTTTGTAGCAGGACCTTGTGATACCAACTTCTTTTTGCTTTGTTTTTGATCCCATTTATTGCTCTGCCTCTGTTTACCTTGTGCTGAGGCTGTGCCCCAGGCAGCTTCTCCTCCCCTTGTTGTCACCTCAGAGGCCACTTTGGCCTTCTGAGATGACAACAAGTATGTGGGATATCATCAAGTATGTGAGGCAGGACACTGATGAGGGTCATGTCTGTAGGGGTTCTCTGCTTAGCTACCACAAAAGTACCCCTTCCTTCGAGCCTGTGAAGGGAATGATAATTGTGGTGTATTTACAGACAAGGATGGCTCAGCTCCACGGTATTTAAGCATTTTTAATCACCTCTTCCTGCATCGGGGATAAATGAAATAAGTCTGTGGTTTCTCCTTCTGCAGGCAGGGCCCATGCCTCTCCTTGTTGGTGAAGATGATGTGTGGACACAGGAATCTCTTACCTGCACTTTTGTCCAGGCTCTGCCAGCTCATTTATCATCAGGTCAGTTTTCCAAACAGGAATCCTATGGTTATAGTGTACTGAGGACTATCCTAATTCATTTCCTGGGCTGGGGGGCATGGACCTGTCTGGGCTGCACTGTGAAGGGACTTCACTGGCCTCCAGGCTTCCAAAAATAATCCCATTTTGGTCAAATAGTATGGAGTTGCTCTCAGGAATGTGAGGTGAATGTTTTCCTACAGAAACACTGCTGTGGAAGGTAAATGCATTCTAGATACATTTTAACAGAAGCTAAAATAGGCAAGTTGAGGAAGGAGGCGAAAGAAAAATAGTGAAATGCTTTGTTCTTAAGCTTCCACATCAAATAATTCACTTGTAAAAATTTAAAAATGAAATAAAACCCCCCAAATCTGGGCCTCAGCAGTGCATGATTTCCTTATTAAAGAATTGTGTGGTTTATTTTCTCTACTCTGTGATATTGCAAGGGTGGAAGTAAAAGGCTGATAGACCAAACTAGCTGTCAGAGAAGATAAAAAGCCTCGAGAAACCCAGATTCTGAATTTACAGTGAGTTGCTTTAAGTTACTGTGTTACAGAAACCTCCACTTTTGCTGCAGGTTGTGTCTCATCAGCTTGATTGATATTGCTCAACTAATTGGTCAGTGGGCAGAAGCAACATTCTGCTGCTTCATTAATTCAGAGCTTTTTCCATGAGAAAGGTCCTTTTGGTGCAAAAGGAATGTTACAATGATATAGATGAAGTATTACAATGTTAGAAATGAAATGTTAAAGTGTTACAATGGAAATGTCACAATGAGACAAAATGCTACAATATTATAAAGGAAGCGTTACAAAGTCACAAGCAAAATTTCTTTAGTTCTTTATTTATTTTGCCTTTCAGGGTCCTTCCTTGACTGATGCTCATATTTTAGGACTAGCAGCTTTTGTGATCCACTTAAGTGAATCGAGAGCTTTAATTCCTGGAGTAGAAGCCAGTTTTGGGATCTCCCAGCCTGTTCCTGAAAAGGCCTTTTCCATCTCTGAGTATTGGACCTGCTTGCTCATGTGCAGGACAGAAGAGTCATTTGCCTTCTGCATGAGGTGACATGGTGCATCCACCACCTCCTTGTTTCCTCAGCTGAAGGGTTTTTGGGATGCTGGGAAAGCTCCCATGGAGGATTTGCAGAGCATATGGAGGGAATTGAACTAACCAGATAATGGAATTCCTTCATTTTCTCTCTCAGGTTTTGCACTGCAGCAGCAACTTATGCGATGTGCAAGTTCTCATCATGTTCTCATGAAGATTTTTGTGCCTTGATTCCTCCTGGCCTGATTAAAAAGGTAAAAGGGTGAAAGTTTTGCCGTTTTCTATGAGAAAGTTCAGTCTCAGCCCAATTTCCTGCTGCAGGGCCCTGTGCAAATATAACTTACACCAAGAAAATGATATAAAACGACATCTTTGTATCCTCTCCTCTTACCCCTTGGTGTATCTGCTGGTTTGGCAGTTCCACACAACCAGAGGTGGCTGTTTCTGTGACAGCCACGTGCAGAGTGTTGTGTCTTTGTTCCAGCTGCAGCACCTTGTGCCTCGGCTGAGCTTGGAAGCTCGAGGGGTCCTGTGTGAGGAGGACAAAACTGCCCTAACCTGGAGCTCCCTGTCCTGCCCCTCTCTGAACTACAGAAGAGCCAGCCTGTGTTTGTGGAAGCAAGCACTCTTCCAAGAGCTCTTAAAGGAAAAAGCATTCCAGGTAGAAATCTTTTCCATGCCTTAAATTCACCCTGTAATTCTCATTTTTTAGATCTGCCCTCTGCAATTTCCTTATTGGTGATCAAAAGCTTCTTGTAAGAGCTTAATGCCTTAAAGTAAGAGCTGAAAGTTGGCCTGACAGCTGAGTCATGTGGGCTGGGATGTATATTCAGTGTTATTTGTGGATTGTGATGGTAATGATATGGTAGAAAGAGAAAACCAGAGGTAAAACCTTGTGTCCTACTTCTTGGAAAAGCAGGAAGCTTGGTAAGCTATACCATATCAGTAGGAAACTGCAGAACTGTAGAGCAAAGGCGTGTCCATCACCTTGGCTCCCTGCTGTTCTCTCTGTAAAGTGATGGTGAGACAAATAACTGAAAATCTTTGCTTTTTTGGTGCTTTGTCTAAATATCAATGTTCCCATGAGCCCCCTGTGCACCTTGGATTGCTTAGCTCTGCCTTGCTGGAAGCAGGTCACCATCTCAGCTCTTCTCTTTGTACCACCCTTGTGGTGTGTCTGATTTGACAGACTTTCCTTTTTTAACCTACTTCCTCTAAAACCAGTTTGTCTTTGTGCAGAGTTTGTGGTGTTCCTAGAATGACTCCTTGTGCTTGCTCAAAGTGCAGGGCTGAAATACCTCTGTGTTACAACCTCCCTTTGATGCTTACACCACCCTGTCTGACTGAGGTGCTTTGCTCATTTTAGCCTTTATTTCTAATAACACACGTTTGTTCTGGTATCTGGGCTTGCAGGTGATGAGTGTGGTTAGAAATGTCAAAGGTGTGTGTGTGTGAGACAGGCTTTATGGGCTCTCTGTGAATTTTTGAAGGCCAATGGGATTTTAGCTTGCATTTCCTACAAGAGAAACAGGACAAAAACTTCCTTGGGTTGATGTCCCCTGTTTCATGTCTTTCAATCCAAACGGGATTGTGTCTGGGGATGAAGTGAAGGTGCATTTTATGTTGGAAAGCAGGTGGCTGTTCTGCACAAGTGACTTGCCTTGCTGTTCTCCCCCATTAATAAATTCTTGCTTTTCCCAGCTGTCTTTCAGAGAGTGGCTGCTGATGGAGCTTGAGTTGTGCCCTGAAAAGGATATTCTCTCTGCTTCAGAAAGGTAAGTGCAGAGGGGCTCTTGGAAAGGGAACAGTCCAAGAGTCTCCCACCCAAATTAGGACAAAGCACTGAAAACTAGGAAGTAAATAAACAGCTACTGGAGGACACAAATGCCTGTTGCCTGCTGTGGTTTGTCCTGAGCTAAGCACTGCTGGAATGAGGGGGGTGTGTGTTAACCTACGGAAGGCCAGGTTGGACTGGGCTTGGAGCAACCTGTGGAAGGTGTCCCTGCCCATGGCAGGGGCTAGAACAAGATAAGCTTTAAGGTCCCTTCCCACCCAAACCATTCTGGGATTCTATGAAGCTCACCAATACAGCCTGCATGTGCAGCCCTTCCAAATAACTTGGCACAAAACCTCCTCAATTCCGAATCCGAGAGCTGACTGACATCGGGATGGGTGGGATCTGCTGGAGGACTCTTCATGTCTGTGCTTATGTGCTGCTTTTGTCTGATCACACATCATTCATCACACTTGGTGTGTGAGCTTCCTTTTACATAAAGGAAAGGGCACCATTCAAATAGATTTCCCATCTCCTCCTTTTTTACGTTTCAGGCAGGATTTCCATTACTGGGCCATCTATCAACGGTATCTTCCTGCACCTTCCGCTGCTGGTGGCTGTGATGGAGACCTGGAGAAGGCATGTGGAGTTATTATCAATGCCCTCCTGGATTCCTCACAGAGGTATTCTGTATCGTGACTTCCATTGCTAATAACCTTGAAGCTGTGAATGGGAGCTTGTCCCTTCCATGGGGCTTTGCAAGCCATTCCCTTCTGGTCTGGCTGGAAGTGGGAGTTGGGAGGTGGCCCTGAATGACTCACCAGTCTTTGCATAAGCATCTTGCTTTAGGTGACAGAGGTCTGGGGCTGCAGCCACAGAGAAGCCCTAGTCTGGCTGTCTTTTTTTAAGTTGACTTTGTACTCACATTTGTTCGGCCAGACAAGCACCAATTCCCTGGGGGGGTGGCTGGAGCTGGAAAATGAGGAGGGAGGTTAGGGGAGAGCTGCTGTCTCAGCTACAGCTTATTTTAGGCACATTAATGTTTGAGCTCTGTGTTCATCTGAAGCATCTGACTGTATTTGAACTGTGCTGTCCCCCAGGCTAACAGGGTTGGTGACCTCATATGTCTCTTCTTTTCAGGCTGGATGTGGGTGGCTGTGGCCAGTCGAAGATGTCACTTAGCCCTGAGATTCTCTGCAGGCTGCAGGTGATTTTAGACTGTGATGTGTTACTTGGATGTTCAATCCTAGAACTTGACCAAAGTATTCCCTTACACCCTGGTGTTTGTGAGTCTCCATTTGGTTCTCATGTGTGAGCAGTGGGATGGGGATTGAGACAGGTTTTTCTTATTGATCTCCGTGTTTCTTCAGAGAAACAAAGAGGGTTTGAGTAAAGGCTGATGTGTAGCCCTGACTGTTTCCCCCCACACTCTGTTCAGGAGCTGGTGCTGGAGCTGAGCTGTAGGCAAAAGCGTCTCAGCTGCTTGGCTGCCCAGAGACACTTCCTGTTTGAGATTCTCCAGGGAAGACTGAGAGACAGAAAGAATGGATCTGCTTTGGAAGAGCAGCTGTGGAGGCAGCAGGAGCTGCTGCTGCACAGAAGGCAAGTGTAGGTCTGAGCAGCTGGGGATAACTCCACCAACACTGCTGCTCAGAGCAGGACAGTGTGTGTGGTGTGTGCTCCCCTCTGATTCCACAGCAAGTGACAGTGACACTGTATGTCATGGTGACAATTGTGCAAGGGACACTTATTCCCTGGTACTCACCTCGTTTAACTTCATTTGCATGTCTTGTCTTTGGCTATCTGTTGCCCTATTAGTAGACTGGATTTCAGAGGCCACACATCTTCATGGGGAGGCTGATTCTCTTCTTGACAGTAACCTCAATTTTTCATTTTTCCTTACCTAAGGATTCTGGTCGGGCTCCCTGCATCTGCTCTGATCACCACGTGTTGGAAAGGAAGGAAAACAGTGTTAGACTGTGAAGACTTTTTTCATTTTGTGAACTCAGAGCTGGTACGTATTGTGAGCCAAACAGTAATTCTTTGTTGGTAAATGCTCTAGATCAGGGTCAGGAGGTCGAGTGCAGCCAAACTGCCCAGTGTTCCCCTGAAGGCCTGGAAGCGGCTGAGCATGAGCCCCTGTGCAATCAATCCCTCTGTCATGCCAGGGCCTTTAACTGATTTGCTGTAGAGTGGGATCCTCCTCATCCTCCTGTGAAAATACTCTAGGAAACATTCAGAAACATCCCTGCAGCTTCCTGGGGGAAGGTCACTTGACTTGCAGATCCCTCAGGATGCTGCTTTGTGCTCTGAAGAGAGCTGACTTCTATTTATTCATCCCAACTGGCCTTTCCAGGCTCTCCAGCACTGTCACATTAGGCACAGCCAGCAATGTCTGTTCATCCCAAGGCTGTTAATCCATCTGCTGCTGCCACCCCAGGCACGTGGTGATTGGGGATGCAGGGACTGTGCAGCACAAGTCGTGGGGTTGCTTTATATAGAAACCACGTTTCTGCCATCAGGATTTACTGTGCTTTCTGAGCCCTGTTTTGCCAGACACTCAAAATGCTCTAAGAAAATCATATCCCAAAGGAAAGGAATTATTTTTTTTTTGTTTCCCTTTCCTTGTCTTCCTGCAGAAAAATGTCTGTTCCAGAGGGTACGCGCTCTCCTACGACATCACAGCTCACTTCTTCAGGGTAACTGCTGCTTTTGTCACTGCCTCACTGTCCCTGCTCAGAGCTTCCCTTCCCAGGACACCTGATACACGAGGTGTGCCCTTTGTACCCTTGTTTTGAGAACTCCTAGTGTAATTCCAAGAAGAGCAGTAATCCAGGAAAATGAGGAGAGGTGGCAGGAGGAAGTAGTGATATAGGTGAATTTTAATACAGTGCAGTAAAGCTGGTGGGGGAAGGAGCTGTTGAGCACGTGTTTCTTTTGCTGAGCCATGCTGACCCCTACAGTTATCTCTGATTACTTCACATGGCTCAGTAAGGGACTTGAAGCAGCAGAGACATATGTGTGGAGTCATCCTGTCATTTATCCTCTTCCAGGGCCTGCTCAATGCCAGCTTGGACTGTGAGGAGGCAGCAGAGGGGGTCAACGATGCTCTAACAGCCTGTCAAACCAAATGTCCCCTGGTGCTCCTCTCTGCAGCGGTAACTTCTCACTTTGGCTGAAGAGTGCTGGGAGAAATTCAGCACCAGTTCAGAGCACTTGTTTTAAGTGTTATTTAAGTGTGTAACATTTAACAGAAACTCTTAATGCCTTTGAAAAATTCCAGGTTGTTTTTGAGCCCTTGGTATCGCTGAACCCAGCTCTGGGATCCCTGTGTCTTGCCACAGGGGCTGTTTCAGACCAGGGAGCTGGGAGGCTTGTCTTGGTCTCTGATGGACTAGGGGGGGCTGGTTGTTACATCCCAAGCAACTAAAATGCCCAGGTTTTTTTCTCTGTCCCGGGTATAACTCCTCGTGTGCTATTTTACACGGGGATACACATTTTGTTGCATGTGGTGAGTGAGGACATCACCCCTGTGGAACTGTTCTTTCATTCTGACTGGTCCTGCTAAAGGAGTTCCAGGGCACCGTGGTATGAGCATGGTCACAAATGACCCTCTGCATTTCCAGGATGTGAAATTTCTGATGTGTTTATGCACAACTTGGACTTTTTCATTAAGGAGAGGGGACAAAAACCCCTTTCTTTGAGTACCTGGCTGTACCTGACTGCAACCAACCACTGAGCACCCCACCACTAATGCTGCTGGTTTCCATCTTTGTCCCCAGCTGTGGTGGCCAAGGCTGGAGCCAGTACTTTGCTCTCAGTGGAAGAGACTCTTTGGGGCTCCACTTGCAGAAGAGCTGGACAGACTGAGGGGCTGGCAGTCCTCAGGTACCAGGTGTGTGTGAGGGATGGAGTGTGGAGCTGCTGTCCTGGAAGGACCAGCCCCGGGAGCCCTGGAATGCTGATGTGGGCTGAGCCTTGCAGGACAGCTCTACGCAGACTCTTTTGTAGGGTTTAAACTCAAAATGGGTCATTATAATTATTTAGTCTGGCCCTGTGTGTAATGTGGGTCAGAGTGCTTCCCCATAAGGAAAAGGGAATCTCTGTAGAAGAGGCTGGAAGGCAGAGTCCTGGTTAGACAAAGCCTTAGCACATTGTTGAGTTATTCCCTGGAGCTGCCACACCCTTTGCTCCCTGGATTTGGGGAATCTGGGCTCCTGAAGCTGTTGACTGGCTGTTCACTTCCCTCTTTACCTGTCCTTATGCTGTATGTCAGCACCCTGCAGCTTTTCTCCAAAAGCTGGGAATTGATGTAAGAATCTCCTTGCAGGTTATGGCAGGTGATAATCAAATGCTTTTGTAGTGTAGAGTTAACTACCTGTCCAACTGCTGATAAAAGAGATTTGGGAATTCTTCTGCCTGATACTAGACTTGTTTTTTTTTCTTACACTGTCTCCATGTAACATCCAACTGCAGGGAAAAAAATGCAGAGGATAATTTATTTTTTTGGTCTCAGTCACAAACTTGCACCTTTGCCCAAGTCCCCGATTTCCTCCTCATTCACAGCTGTATTTTTTCCCCTTTTTTCCCCCCAAACCCATAACATGCTCGTTTTGTCTTCCAGATTCCTTTCTTCAGGAGCTGTTTTCCCTCTCTCTGACCCTCCCTGGCTCTTGGCTGCCTTCCTCCACAGTGCCATCCTACAGCAGTCACCACGTGGACGAGAGAGAGAGGCACTGAAAAGGCTGGGGACTGATGCAGAGCAGGCAAGGCTGGGTGCATTTTATGTGTCTGCTCTTTCCAACACCCAAAAATTAGAAATAGGTGGTCTTTAACTGAGAAAAGTTGTCCTGAGATAGTGCTGTATCCCTGGTAATCCCTGTTGGGAAATCTTGTGGTGGTTAATTGGTGAAAAGTGACTGAAATTACCAGTTGGTAAATTCTTATCCTAAAGGCAAAGTTGTGCAAAGCTTAAACTTTTAACTCAGACTCTGGCTCCTCTGAAGTCAGGGAGGGCTATTCAACAGTGGCATTAAAAACTGAAGCTGGAGAGGGCCCTGCAGAGGCTGAGAGCTTGATCCATGCTGTGCCAGGATCCCTCTCCCTCCAGCAACAGAGCAGTCCCTGTGGATTTTAGCTCAGGCAACTTGGCTGGAAGGTTAAGGAGATGCAGGAAGTTTGTGAGACAGCAGTGCAGGCATTTTAAGGGCTCTGGGAAATTGTGCTGGGAATCCCAGGGACAGATTTCCTGAGGGTCCAGGAAATGCCTCTGCCTTTCACCATGCTCAATACCCTCAGTGGAGGGGAATTCTCTGAAAGGCTCTACTGAGAAGGAAGCCGGGCTGCTGCCAAGCAGTCCTGTCTGTTGATTTTCCAGGAAAAAGTCAGGGTTAGGGCACAGTCCCTATGTCAAGAGGTTTACAGGTAACAGTGCTGAAGCAGAACCTGGGCCTCCTGTTTACTCTGGTGGTTTATTGCTCCCGGCAGCAGTTACAACAGTAGCTCCTCTTCCTGTGGGATTGACTCCTCCACTGTTTGTACTGGTCTGGAGCCAGAAACTGTTGTCATTGAGGTGATATCAGCATTTAGCACACAGGAAGTAACAGCAGCTTTCACCCCCAAAATCCTGGAGAGCGCCAGGGCGAGCAAGAACTGGAATGGCTGAGGGTAATTGGGGTCCCAGCAGGTCAAACACACTGTGCTTGTAGTCCATCAAGGTCCAGCCTGGGAATGTACCTGGTGAAATGTTATTCCCTGATTGGAAAGGCCAAGTTCCGAGTCACCACTGCGGGTACAACTAACAGGCACCTCCTTTCCTTGCAGCTCCTTGTTTCCCTGCTGTTCTTCTCACTCCTGGATCTCATCTCAGCCAAAATAGCACCAAAGGTAAGTTCAGCCCCAAGGGAATTCCCATGGCATGTGTCTGATCAGTTTGGTTTGCTGCCCAAAACTGCTTTGTACCAGCACTGGGAAGGCTGGGAGCTTGTTCTGCCAGGAGGAAGGGATCAGCAACACCCCAGACAAGCCTGCTGAAAGCCCTTCTGTGCCCATCAGATTAAACATGTGTTTTCCTCTCGCTGACGCTATCTCCCCTTTCACTAATTTTATTTCTCTTCCTGAATGATTTACTATTTGCAGTTTCCTGTTCAGACCTTACACCTCCCAGGTAGCGCAGGAACCTCATATCTCTCTAGGCTTTTATGCAGCATTTCACATCTGTCAGATGATGTTTTTCCTCAGGCTGGAATGTGGTACTTCATGGGAGAAGGGGTCCCCAGCAAGGAGGAACATTACTTTCCAAATGATTTAATGCTATTAAGTGGAGGAGCAAAGATGACAGGCTACTTCCAGCTGCTGTCTGCCCTGAGCATCCTCCTGCCTGTGAAGGCTTGTTTCTGTCCCTTTGCTGTCACCTCAGCTTTGAAGTGCAACCATTTGTGGAGTCACCTCACAGATTGGATCAGGGAGCAGATTCAAGGCAAAAATAACCATTTGGTCTCAGTCTGCCTGTGGGAGAGTCTGGAGGAAGAGCCGGGGAGGAGAGAAACATCTTGAGCAGACAGAGCTGGGAGGTTAATCCAAGTAAAATGAGTAATGAAAAAAAAACCCCACAATAATCCCAAAACATGTTGTCACTAGAAAGGTTAGAGGGGACAAAACCTGCTCCGGGGAGCGTGGTGGGGTGGGAGCAGGATGTGAAGTGGATTGTTGATTGATCCAGGTTGGATGGGACTTGGAGCAACCTGGTCTAGTGGAAGGTGTCCCTGCCCATGGCAGAGGCCTGGAACTGGATGATATTTAAGGTCCTTTCCAACCTAAACCATTCCATGATGCTGCTTCCCCCTCTCTCACAAATGCTTCTTAGCTGAGCCCTGTGGTAGCCTGGTTTAGTGATAGAGGCACTGCCTTGCTCCACTGCCCAATTCCCTGGGGGAATCCAGGCTGCCAAGTAAGGAGAATGACTTGGGCTAAATATTTAATGTCCTTTAACAGAGCACTTCATGTACAGTCTTGCGAAGGTTCCTCTGCTTTGATGCAACTAAAGCCCAAGACAAATGACTTCTCCTTTCTGACACCCAGGAAGGAGTGGATTTTCAGACATCTCTGGAATGGTCCCTGGAGATCTTGCAGTGCCTAGAAGAGAGAGGCACATCCTGGCCACTTCTCTTCCATTCAGCAGAGCAAGGTGAGTCCTGTCCCCCAGGGGGTGGAACGGTGAGCTTTGGTACTGGCCAGGTGAGCCCATTGCTTGGGTTAGAGTGTAGCTGTGAGAGGAAGCAGCACAAAAAATACTTGAGTAAAAGCTAAGAAAAGAATCCTGTTTCTACTGCAGCATATGGAGACCCAGCTGATGATCAGGAATGACTGAACTTGGTTTTGTTCCTCCTGGTAGAAAAAACCTGAGGGGACAACTTGCTTCTCTTGCTGGTCACCACTCCCAAGCACCTGTATTTACTGTGGGCTGAAAGGAAATGGTGCAGGCCCTGTACTGCTCTAGAAGTATGGAAGGTGAGGCCACAGAAGGTGCTCAGTGCCTCTCTCTGTCCTTCCAGGCTCTGGGAAATACTGTGTCCTGCGCGACGCGGCCTCAGACCGTCACATCCGCCTCCTGCCTGTGGCATTCTACAGGTAAGGTCCTGCTGGGCTGGACAGGTCTGAGGGGGGATGTGGGGGACGGTTTGCACCTACAGTAGCTGGCGTGCAGGTGATAGCACTACTGGCCTGGCTGTGAGCACGTATTTACCTCTTACCTGAGCTGTGCAGGAGAAAACACCTGATCAGGGCAGGGTTGGTGTTTAATGAGCCCCACATCTTTTGCTAAAGAACTTTGATCGAAGTTTCCCTTCAGCCTTGTGCTCCAAACTGTCCTGGCTGCCTTCTCTTCCTGGGGTAGCCCTACACACAATGGGACTTGTAAAGCAGACACGGGCAGGGCAGCAGCTGTGTTTGCCTTGTGCCTGTGTGTGTCTCCTATGGAAGCAGAGCTAACAGAGCCTGTGTGTGACTCCTCCAGCCTCACCCCTCGCTTCCCCCGTGAGCTCCTCCGGCGAGAGCCGACCTTCCTCCTCGCGGCACTCAACTTGTACATCCAGCTGCTACAGCTCTTTGTGGAAGGGGAGGTCCTGCCACAGTCTGATCAAGACCCCACAGAGCATGTGAGTGAAGCTTGGACTCTCTTTTTTTTAATACAGAATACTGGAATGGTTTGGGTGGGAAGGGACCTCAAAGCCCATCTTGTTGCACCCCCTTCCAGGGGCAGAGACACCTACCACTAGACCAGGTTGCTCCAAGTCCCGTCCAACCTGGCCTTGAACACTTCCAGGGATGGGGCAGCCACAGCTTCTCTGGGCAACCTGTGCCAGGGGCTCACCACCCTCACAGGGAAGAGTTTCTTCTTGATACTCAATCTAAATCTACCCTTTTTCAGCTTAAAACCTCCTGATTCTATTCTTTAGTCCTCTTGTGTTGTGCAGGATCCCTTGGAGGTGATCTCTGTGGCCCGGCGGTTCCTGATGGGAGCCATCCCACAGTGCCTCACCCAGAGCTTTGGGAACATACAGCCGGTACGTTCAGATGTTTTCCCTTTTCTCCCAGTGTGTGGGAGCTGGGAGTGCTGCTGCTGCTGCCTGCACAGCCTTCCTGGGGCACTGATCCTGCACTGGTGCTGCGGATTTGACTGTGCCAAGCTCCATGCTTCCCTAACATGCCTGGGAGTGCTCTGTGCTTCCCTAACTTGCTTGGGTGTGGGAGGACACCTGCTGCTCAGCCAGTGCCATGGCCATGTCCTCCACCATTCCCACAAATCCTGCCCTCACGTGGCCATTCCCATTAGGTCTCTGAGGGAAACATCAAATACAGCCAAGGGCAGGTGCTGAAGTTTCCCCCTCCTCTGCTTGTGCTTGGCCAAGAGGCAGCAAAATGCTGAGGTGTTACTGGAACTGGCTGTGAGGAAGCATGAGGTCTAAACTGGCTCCTTGCCCTCTCTCCAGCTCCTGGCCATCTGTGAGGAACTTGACCCAGAGCTGGGAGCCACTCTCCTGCACTTCTCCAGGCCTGCTGTGGCTATGGAGCTGGAGGAAGAGCTGGAACTGTTCTGAGCAAGGGGCAGACACTGGCACAGCACAACACCCCAACCACACCTGCCAAGGCACACCAGGTGCCACCTTTCTCACCTGGGCCTTTTTTTTTTTCAAATTACTTTGTAAATAATTTATTACAAGCGTAACCATGAAGCTCTTGTTACAATAAAAAGTAGGTTACAAATTTCAATTTAGAGTTGCTTTGGGAATCATAATTATGGTGTTTTGTTTTTTTTTTTCCAAAACAAAATGTCTGCTTAAAGTTGTCCCACTGTCCTCTGTCCCCCTCGAGGCCCCGAGGGCACCTCTGTGCAGGCAGGGAACAGTTGTGGCCAACTTGGTTTCTATGTGTGCGTGGGGATGGGGACACGAAGGGGGTGCTGCCGATGTCCCTTCCCCCGGGATTAGACACTTTTAGTACAACACTGCTGAATCAGACGTGAGCATGGAAATCACAGCATGAGAACAAGCCTTTTCTGAGCAAGCTGAAGCTAATTCCATGGAGTTCTCTGGGAGACTAAAACGTAGATTTAAATCTCCACTCTGCCATACGGTTTCTACGGAGCTAGGCTGGGAATGGAGCCCCGTCCCTCTCAGGTGGGTTCCTGCTGCACAGTCACTTCTGGCTTCACCACCTGGTTCTCTGGAGTCCCTGAAGTAGTGAGGAGGAGGATGGGCTCTGGCTCCAGTGGCTTGGCTTTGTCCTGAGTCTGGGTCAGAGGGTGCACCATGGACATGTGGACGTTAAGGTTGTGGGCCTTCTCGAAGCGCTTCCCGCACTGGTCACAGGCGAACTCCAGCTCCGCCTCAGCCTTGTGTTTGGTCATGTGGTACTTGAGGGACGCGCGCTGGCGGCACTGGAACCCACAGATCTCACACCTGCAGGGCAAAAGGGGGCTCAGCATCTGACCCTGACTCACTCAGCCAGGGAGACCTCTGGAGCTGGAGCAGGTGTTGGGGATGGACATTTCGCTGAATCACAGAATTCTGGAATGGTTTGGGTGGGAAGGGACCTTAAAGCTCATCTTGTCCCACCCCCTGCCATGGCCAGGGACACCTTCCACTAGACCAGGTTGTTCCAAGCCCCATCCAACCTGGCCTTGAACACTCCCAGGGATGGGGCAGCCACAGCTTCTCTGGGCAACCTGTGCCAGGGCCTTCCCCCTTCCCAGGGCAGAATTTTTCCTCTGGCAGTGGGAATTCATTCCCCACTGTCCTGTTCCTCCAGGCCCTTGTCCGAAGTCCCTCTCTAGCTCTCTTGGAGCCCCTTTAGGCCCTGGAAGGGGCTTTAAGTTCTCTCTGGAGCCTTCTCTTCTCCAGGCCAAATATCCCCAGCTCTCTCAGCCTTTCCTCATAGGAGAGGTGTTCCATCCCTCTCCTCATTTATTCCATTTAAAGCAATTCAGCCAGGATGCTGCCAGCTACAGGCAGCATTTGTACCCCAGAATTCCTGTGCCAGAGGGACAGTGACTGATCCATCTGATCCCCTTGCTGTGAGGGGAGGGCTGGAATCACTTACTGCAGGGGCTTCGCTCCCGAGTGCCGCATCTGATGGACTGAGAGGTGTTTGCGTTGCTTGAAGGTCTGCCCACACTCATCACAGATATAGTTCCGTACCTCTGCAAGGGGAACAGGAGATCATGGAATCTGCCAGTTCCTGGAACATGCACCGCACACGCAGCTGCCCACACTCCCTGCTGGAGTCTGAATTCCTCCCCTGCCTTGCATCCCCCACGTGAGGGGTTGTTCCAGGTTTACAGGCAGTCCTGCCCCCCTCCCAAAGCCCTCCCATGGCACCTCCAATCTTTGTGCCACGAGGCGTTGGGTGTTTGTGCCCTGTCCCCTGCTGGGACACACCTGTGTGGATGAGCTTGACGTGCCGCTGGAGGTACCTGTCGATCATGAACACCTTGTTGCAGCCCGGGTGAGGACAGGGCCTCTCCCGCACCTCTTCATGGTGCTCCTTGATGTGTTTCTGCAAAGCAAGGACAGAGCTTCTGACAGGGAAAAGCTTGGATCCCCAGAAACAGAGACCACTATGTGAAAAACCAGGATTTGCATCCCAATCTACCCCTGGCAGCAGGGGCTTTAACCAGACACAGCGGAATCTGTTCCAAGGGCTGCTGTGAACCAATGGCAGCCTACCAAGACAGGAGGAGCAGGGAGAGGCAGAGCAGACTGGAAGAGGCTGGGATTCCCAGCCGGTTGCTTTTAGTGACTCATTGCCTCTCACAGAGCAAGGCAGGGAATTAAACCCATTGGGGATCCTCTGCTCACATGGAAATGACTCCATAGTACTGGAAGCTACTGGTTTGGGATGGGAGCAGACTCCAGCTCACCTTCATGCCATCCGCCCCTCTGTAGACAGCGGTGCAGCCCTGGTAAGGACACTTGTAGATGGTGGGCAGCTCCTCCCTGGAAGCAGAGCTGTGTGAGGCAGTGCAGGCATGGGGCTGGGGCCCAGCCTCCCAGAGCCTCCTTACCGTTCACATTTGATTTTTTTTTTCCAGCCTGGCTTAGGCCCCGGCTTCTTCCTTATTTTGGGCTCTTCCACTTTCTTTGCTTCTTTACTGTCGCTCTTCTTGCCAGAAACCCTCCAAAAAGGAATCAGGACAGTGGTTTAAGGCTTGATCTTGATTTTAGTCCTCCTACCCAAGTGTCCCCCGGGTTGATGCTTAACCTGGCAAAGCAGGAGCACACACAGCCCCAGGTACATGAGCCAGGCTATGGCTGTGCTGGGCCTGGGGATCAGGGATGTGGCCCAGCTTCAGCCTGATGTGGGGCTTGGGGGCACCGCTGTGACCCGACAGGAATATGCAGGGAACAAAGCCATAAGGAATGATGTGCTGGCCCTGCGGGGATGAGCACCAGCCCCTCCACCCTACCCCAAGAGCCCCTTACTTCTTGTCGGGGTAAGGCTCAAAGGAGTCATCTGAGGATTGCACGTTTCTCTTCTCACTTTCATCATCGCTCAGGAAATCCCTGAGAGAGAGAAGAAACCGTTTACCCATACAGCACCTGGATGGCCCTTGGGCACCAGCAGTTCCCTGTTCCCAGCATATCCATCCCCACCGTGGGGCACGGCAGCCACTCTGTGTCCTCCCCAGCCTCTCCCCAAGAGAGCAAAGACCCAAATCAGGTCCTTTTAGGACTAAATCTCTGCAAGAATAATCGAACCACTGTCAGGAGAACAAAAAAATGGCTGTTACTGAAAGGATCTATTCATGGGTGAGGGATGTGGCTCCGCTTCCTCTACTGGGAGAAGGAATTTTGTGGAGCAAGAATGTCACATAATTGTCTGGCACAGGTTAATGAAGCTGCAGGTCATTCCGTGTTCCCTCAAATGTAGCAGCCACGTGGGTTTGGTTTTTATTTTTCCTTCTTTTACGTTTTAAGCCATGGAAGAAGTAATTAATTCCCAAAGCCAGGAAACAGGCAATAAATTGTTGTGGCACTTTTAATGTGACAGCTGATAGTTCACTCTGCACTTGGCCCTCTGGAACGCCTGGATTGGTGTATTTACAGCCCTACTCAAAATACTTGTGTTGGAAGGATTGAGCCAAATCTTTGCTCACACGGACTGTGGAGCTGCCAAGCTCCCTCCCGCTCCCACTTCCCAGTTAATCGCTCTCCCTGGGAGCAAACGGGGCGGTTTCTCCACGTGCCACCCCGTGCCTGCATTCCAGCTCCCCCTGCTCTCCCGCAGCCCCAGCCACGATGGGAATTGCTCCGAGGCTGAGGAGCTGGAGCAGTGCCATCCGGACCAAGTGAGCCCCCGACACGGCTTTTTCTCCAGATCAGAGAGGGGATGAAACAGGGCCAGGACTGCTGGAAGCAGCCACCAAACACAAAGCACACGTGTGTGCAAACCCCTGCCAGCAGAGGAGGGGAGCTTAGAGCTTCAGTGCCGGGAGCCCCATGGCGGCCGTGGCAGAGCCGCCACTCCGGCACCGGTTCTGAGGGGCCGCCAGGGCTGGGGCGCTGGTGGAGAAAGAGCTCTGCGAGTTGGGGCAGTTCACACTGGCAAAGAAGACATTTAGGCTATTTGAAACCCACTCTTCTCTCACCCCTCAGAAAGGTCACTGAACTCGTCTTTTACCCGCTCATCCGACGTTGCAGACAGAACCTGCTTCCCACTCAACTGTCCTAGGGAATGAAGGAGAACATGGTGTGTTACAAGGAAAAGCAGCAGAGCCACGGCTGCCGAGGCGGAACCGACTGCTCTGGGTGTGCTCGGCGTGGTCACACCATGGGAAGGAAACACATGCTCCATGACAAATCAATGATTGTTTAAACCAGACTATGTCTGTGTGCTCAGAGTGCTCTCCCTGCACTCTGGGACAGGACAGCCTTGGCCCTGCAGCTCCCAGGAGCAGCTTTTGGTTCCCCCTGTGACACCCATAATTGAAAGACTTGTCCTCAAGCAAGTCCCAGCTGCCATTCCTGTGTCCAGCAGCAGACATCTCCTGTGGATACTGGAGCTAAACACAGCCCCACTTCTGGAACTCAAAATAGGTGTTAATTCCTCACTTATGAAAGTGGTGTTTGTGGCAGTTCAGCAGCAAACCCATGTTCACTCAGTCCAAGCCCACCTAGAAGTTTTCCTTTGGGGACAGAAGGGGCTCCTGGGGTTTGGCAAAAAGAAATATCTGGCAAAGGTGGTGCTGGAGAACCAGCAACTGCTCCACGCTGTGTCCCTGGGAAGAGCATGGCAGCATCAGAGGGGGAGCAGCACATGGGGAGAGGAGTATGACCCTGTGTTACCCTGTCCCTTCTGCAACACTCAGCCTACCCATCCCTAGTTGGAGCCAATTCTCCGGGCAGTCAGCACTTCCCAGATGAATCTGCATCCTCCCTGAGGAGCAGCAGTCTCCAAGAAGGGGGTCCACCCCCCATCACTCTCTGGGCCACATCTCCAGCTCCCTTCCCTTCCCCAGAAGCCAGGAGGGAGATCAGGAGGCAAATCCCTTACCTGTGGCAGTGCTCAGCGGGGACACAGGCTGTGGCAGGCCCTCCTCCCGCACAGAGGCTGCGCTGTCCAGCTCCGAGCGAGATGGATCCCTGTCCTGCAGTGCCTCGTCCTCCACATCCAGTGGCACCGCCGTGGTCCCTTTGTTCGCGGGCTGCTGGCAAGGAGCTGTCCTTACTGGAGCATGCTGGGCTTTGGGAGCAGGAACAGCCTCGGCATTGTCTGCTCCAGCCCCGTTGTCAGTCAAGCGCTGTTGTGCTGTGCCCTTGCTCCACTCGCGTTTGACAGCCAGGGCGTTGTCCACCAGCACAGTGCTGCAGTCTGAGGCCGTGTCCATGATGTAGTCGTGGCCGTCCCCACAGCCCCACACAGCGCGGATGATGCCGCAGTACTCGGAAGACAGGACACTCCGCAGGCCGGGCACCGAGGGGCAGCTCCCGGCGTGAGTGTGAGCCCATGTCACCAGGCTGTGCAGGCACTGCGGGCTGGATGTGATCAGGTCAACTGTGCAGGACAGAGGCAGCACAGTCAGGCCTGGGGACAGCGATTGGCAGCAGGGGACACAGAGGGGACAGGGATGTGGAACTGTTCCCCCCGGAGCTGCCCCAGAAGGCACGTGGGAGACACTCTAAGGGGCTGCACCCAGGTGGGCTGAAGTGGGGCAGATCCAGCACCTGGCAGGATCAATGAGATTGGAAAAGACCTTTGGGATCATTGAGTCCAACCTGTGACCCATCATCACCTTGTCAACCAGACCAGAGCACTGAGTGCCATGTCCAGTCTTTACTTAAAGACCTCCAGGGATGGTGACTCCACCACCTCCCTCCATCTTTCACTTCACAGCTGAAAGTACATTTCTGATTGTCCCTGGTGTCCAACAGCGGCTGGAACAGGCCTGGCACTGTCACCCAAACCCGCTCCACCTGCTCTTTGCACACCCAGGTGAGCTTGTGCCTGTTTGGCTCAGTTTGGGAAGGTGAGGATCCTCCCAGGAGGCCAGAGGGAAGAAGGGGAACCATAACCAGCCATGTCAAAGGACACCAGACCTGTGCTGCACATAGTCATTCCCCATCACCCATCAACCCCAGCTGGTGGCATGGCAGAAGGAAAAGGGGAGCAGCTCCAGGAGCAGGCACTCACCCAGGCAGGAGGCACCTCCTTCCGTGCCCGGCTGTGCCAGGGCTGCGCCGCTCCTGCAAAAACCAGAGCAGCACAGTGGGGCTGAGGGGTCATGGAGGGACCACGTGGCACCCATGCAGCACCGTGCAGCACCGCGCTGCTCCTGGGACGGGGGAAAGGCCACCTACTTTCCTTTGGACCTGGCATGGCCCGTGGGCGAGGCGTTCACCCTCTGGATGAAGGTGCGGAGGACGCTGCGGCACTTGTAGAACTGGGCATGGCATTTCTTGCAGACGAACTGTGGCAGCGCCGGGTCCTGCCGCACCGCCACCCCCACCAGCCGCTGGAAGTCGGTGAAGAACACCTGGTCCACGCGCCGCTGCTTCTCCGAGTTCTCCCCCACCACGGGCACCTTCCCAAAGGCATTGCGCAGGCTCCTGGAGGAGAACTTCCCGTGGCACAGGCGACAGTACCCGGTGCTCAGGGCTCTGCCGATTCCTGCCGAGAGGGACCGAACTGCTGGGGGACAGCACCGACACACCCAGGATGTCCCCCTTCCCCTCATCTCTGCTGGGTGACAGAACTGACACACCTGGGATGTTCCCCTTCCCCTCATCTCTGCTGGATGACAGCACCCACACACGTGGGATGTTCCCCTTCCCCTCACCCTGCTGCTTCCAAAGCCCTGCCTTCAGCAAAGCACAGGAAATCCAAGTAGGAAGAGATCTCCCTTCCCCCTGACCCTTCCCACACCAGCTGACCCAAAATCAGCCTTTCTGGCCCCAGTGTCCTAGCAGAGGAGCCTCCTCCTCACTGGTGTTCCTGGGGCTCTGCCAATGCCATCCCTCGGTTTCAGCAGTTCTTCCCCTTTCCTGGTGTTTATCTCCCAAATATTTACAGCCGGTGTCCTGTCCCTCGTCCATCCCAGCACTGGCTGTCCCGTTCTTCAACCCCTGGATAGTGCCCTGGAGCCGGGGACACGCAGCTCCTGACCCAGAGCAGCAGGGTAGGATGCAAAGTGTCTTCCAGTGCAGTGACCTGTGGCATTCCCATCCTGTGGAATACTCTCCATCCCTCCGCTGCACCCCGACTGTCTGCCAGCACAAGGAAAACCCCTGGCACAGCCTCCTTCCAGCCCTGATCCAACTCAGACACCCAACGGAGCCGTTTGAGATCCCAGTTATCTCCTGCCCCAGCCGCAATGTGCCCGGATATCGGCCACCCCCAAACCGGGGTGGCGGGAGGGTCCCGGTCACCCCCAAACCCCAAACTGGGATGGCGGGAGGGTGCCAGTCGCCCATAAATCGGAATGGCAAGAGGGTCCCTAAACCAGGGCAGGCAGCGGTCGTGTCCTCCGGGATGGCGGGGGGTTCCCCCGCTCATCCTCCCCGTCTGCCGAACCCCTCCTTACCTCGTCGTTACC